CCGCCGAGTGAGTACCTACACTAGAGTACTACTACTTATTACCGTTTAAGTATGATTGACATGTTATCACAGCTACCCTAGAGTTCAGGTTGTGCGTAAGCCACAGTGCGCCACCACAAGTGCACGAGGCAGTAACGTTACCATAGATCAAGCACGCCAAATGCGCCTCGTCAGTCAATTGTGACCTAGCATCTGGTGATGAGTCATAAACCGCGTCAGGTTGATGCAGTTTTACCGACCCCGCGGGGCAGTCGGTGAAGGGGGGAGGCTGTAATAGAAACCTGGTAAATGCTTATATCCGTCCATTGAGTATCGGGGGCGGTGATGCCTTGGGATGTCATGAATAATATCCGTTAATGATTTGCGTTCATGGGTTTTAATGGTTCGGTTCAATACTAGGATTGCCGACGAATACGGCCTGCAAAGAAGCAGTAGCTTCGAGTTTGTTCTACCCATGCACCCCAACCATCTCAGCTGCGATAACGATTGGATATAAAAGCGGGGTTAACCGGTATCCTATAAACTGTCATAGTCATCGCTATATAGTTATATATACCGCAAAATCTCTGTTCGTTGCCAAGAGCGGTGTTGGCTTTTGTCCTGCTGTAAAAGGCTCTGATTTCTTCCTTTAAGGGTGATATTTTTCGGCTCCTCTGCAAAGTCGTCCTCTTGGCAACCGTCCGAACGAACTGAGACTTTGCAGTAGGTCAGTCATGAGGCCTTACTAACCAAGCGTTGAGATTTTATCTACTCGTTTACCACGAAAAGAACCAGAAAATGCAAGTGACGGAAACAGGGATTATTTGTATGAGAGATCACCGCCACTCCATACAAATAATCCTTGCCCTGAGCAACTGCATTTTCTGGTTCTTTTCGTGGTAAGTATACCGCCTGGGCCGGTTTACTGCACTACATTATCTCCCAGAAAGTTCACGGCCCTCTATCAAAAACTGCCGAACCCCGCCTGCGAACCAAAGACGGGGGCTACAGCCGATGTTATGGGGCGTATGTACGTGGGCGCAGGAGATATATCTGGACCTTCGTCAAGTAATGATATTCTTTCTGATGAGGTATATATTTGGTTTGATGATGATGAGCTGAAGCCCCGCGTGGTTTGTCTAAAGTAGATGTTCGTGACATCCAGTCCTGAGGGTCCCTTCCCTCAGTGGGCCGAACCCCCCTCACCTCCTTCACTGCCGAATCCCCTTAAATACCGAGAACGATTTCACCTCTATCACAGACACTCAGGATAGCCTTGCTCTCGCTACTGGTCGGCCTCTGTCGTATCTTCCTATTACGCTGTAACATGGCAGTAAAAGAGCGAGAAACAAATTGCGTTGATCAATATGATACGAGATATACAGGCAGCTATCATTATAGTTATACATCACACGTCAAATTGGACAGCACTTCCCCATGACGTGTCCGGTCTTGCTGTCCTCTAAAGAGCCGTATATACACACGTTGCTTAACTGCACAATCCATGCAATTAATGAATTAAACAAAAAAAACTGCACAATCCGAGTGATATTTTATGATACAAGCTATAATTTCCGCCGCTGGCGAAAAGAGCTTGCATTTGAACGAGACATTTTTGTAGAGTAGAGTGTGTAAATACATACATGTATCTTAGCTGCAGTATACGTAACATGTATACATGTATTATCTGAACCTACAGTTGCAGCCTTATATCGTGTCAAAACGTCAGCCGCGGCAGAACATGGCATTAATCCCTGTTCTGATAGATGCTGCTCCTTTCGTCTTTCTCAGCTCTCGGGTCCACCAATCAAACAGAATCGTTTCATAAATAGGGACTGCCGGTTTCCGCACGTAGTCCTTCTATTGGCACATCGTTCCCCGGCATTCAACGGTCAACGTAATTTTGCGAACATTATATAGAGTACAGCTGTCCCTGGCCTGATAACGTGTATGCCATCGTTGATCTCATCCCCATTACACGGACCTCAAGGTAGAACTCCCCTCCGTTCTGAATCCCTCGTGGGTGGTTGGTCGATCGAGCTGTCCATCCATTCAATCTTCTACTCGTATACCAGGGTAAGAACCAAAAAATGCAAGTGACGGAAACAGTAATGATTTGTATGAGAGATCACCGCTACCCCATACAAATAATCCTTGCCCTGAGCAACTGCATTTTCTAGTTCTTTTCGTGGTAAACGAGTAAGTAAGAGACATCCTCATTCGATAATCGGCCATCGAAAGCCTCACTCGTACATACGTATCTGTCTTTGTGTGTGTGTGCGTATCAGCCTCGTGATCTGTGATGTAACAGAGCCCAGATGTGCTTCGAGATTTCATATTCGCAGAATCAGAGTAACTAATAAAGTTATATGTGCAGAAACAATCAGCGCGATATGACCTAGGCATTGGTATCCTTTACTGGAGCATGTGCGCACCTCATCCGACCAACTAGTTCGGAGGGAAGTTTGAAAGTTGATCAACAGACCACATTGTCACTTAGACCACTTTCTTTGGTCCAGCCGAGTTTAGGTTGAAATTTCACGATTGGTGTCACGGTACTCCATACACTCCTGGAAGGACCAAGCGGAAAGAGTTATGCTTTTCGATTACACAGACAATATAAATTACATTCTGTTTACAGACAACCCGGGAGTTAATATATCGAAACTCAAAAGAGATCTAGGCATGTCATAAGTGTAACACATCCAAACAAGTACGTTCAGTTACCCCCCCCAAAAAAAAGACGGACGAAAGATATATCATTTCCTCCCATGTGAAACCAGGCTTCAACCAAGGCTCTGGTGCCTCCTCGCATATGTCATCGGGCTAGCTGTATGCTAATTAAATACAAACCAGATAGATTCACGGATATCTATCACCAGAGAATCTCCGTTACACCGTAGCAGGACACTCTACGTCAAAACTTAATTGTAGTATGGCTCCAGAACTTGAAATATGCATTCTTGGCGCCAGGGTTAGGTGTATTTAGGTTTAACACGGCTTTCTCTATTCTTACCCAAGATCATACTACCCAGAGTAAACGAAACTATTTATTGTCTCGTAAGCTATTTTCCAAAACTCCAAACCAAACGCATGTTCTCAAGAAGCTCGTTAGGCCTCTCAAAACAGATTTAAACTTGACAGTGAGAAGCCGTCTCCATCCCCGAAGATTGACTTAGAAATTCCAGGCATTCTAGTGCTAAAGGGGGCGCAACGACGCTCCTCAACCGATACACATACCAAGTAGCACTGGAAAACCATGAAACATAACCCCGGTGGAGCCAGAGCTTACTACATACATCGCACATGAAAGGTTACAAGTTCAGGTCAGGCTAGTGTATAGCACGTTTTTCAGTTAAAGCTTTAACTACTGCGGACTGTTCTAAGCCGGATCTCATTGCCACTTCAAAACCCCACTTATGCTCATAATATGGGCTCAAGATACCCCGTATCTAGGGTATAAAGATGACCATAATAAGATAGGGTACGCCAAGGGTTCCGATACTGTTTCTACGAGTGATACTCAATGACTCGAGGATAGTACGAGTATGCCACTATTATATCCACCCACAAAATTGTAGGCAAGACGACTTGTCTGATGCTAAAACTCAGATTGGGTAGGTATAGCGTGAAGATAATGTTTCCGGAGGGATCGCTTCCACCATCATTAGAACTATCACGACCTTGACAGCCATATAATTATGCCTGTAATTCTATCCAGGCCCAATTAATTGTTAGCATCATTACGTAAACTAGTCCCTTACCTCCCAAGTTGCAACCCTAGTCCTGGTTCCTGGGCAATAATAAAATCTTGGCGCCGATGCCACGTAGAAACAAAAAAGGCTTCCCCGGGAAGGCTTGAACTTCCAACCTCCCGATGAAACTGTAACAGTAACAGTCGGACGCGCTAACCAATTGCGCCACGGAGAACTTGTATCGCTGGTGTACTATGAAAATAATAGTCTAATAATTAATTGAGCTCTATATTGCAACACCGCCCACAGTGTCTTCATGTACTGTCCGATCGGTAAATTCGAAGGTACATATTTAGGATACGTTTTATTGGCCGAGAATTCGCTGGGCTACTTTAATTACCGATGTACTATCTATGGTTTAGGTATATACATGTATCTCGTATAAAAAAAAAACAGCAAAGTCTGGAAGGAACCTCTTACACAGCCGGAGCTCACTACCAATTAACTACATGTAAAAATAGACATAGCCGGCATAGAACCAATACATATAGTATAGTAAAAATTTCAAGTTAAAACGGAGAAATGGGTTATAATACCTGTGCAACCACCAAGTACATGGAGATACATGATTCTATTAGAGAATTCAAAGGAACAAATGATTCGATCAATTGAACGATGATCGCTCTATGGCTTCTTAGAATTGTATCTCATAAAATGGGGAACAACAGTGGAAGTACATGCAGCGGGCCGCTATGAGCTTACATGTATGCAACTTACTCATTCTTGATATGTATGTCAAAAGAATTAAGAGCATGCATGTACTACTGCGTCTTCTTTATTATGGTCTGTTATAGGTACTAGGCCGGGAACCGTAGATACGCATACGTCTCTTCTTTCCCCTCCTCTCTTCTCTACCAGCATCCAGGCATTCCCTTCCATCCAGTCACTTCATCGTTACTCCATGAACTCATTCTCAAATTTCAAAACTATTAAAGTCTAACTACATGTACATGTATCTTAACGACTTAAACCGCCGAATCGATAGACTAACCAGATCCCCGAAGTTTGTCAGAATGCCTTTTTGCTCTTCCCTCCTAAATCGTACGAGATGTGAGTAGCTCTATGCTGATACGACACTACCACCACTGTCGGTTTAGAATTGATGACTTCTCACTACTCAGTGCCTATTTATTAGATCTACAAGGCCTAATGGCAGGTGACTCTTGGCTTAGCCACACGCCACACGCCACATATGTGGTAGTAACGAACGTCGAGTGTCAACCCTAGCATCGTCAACGCCAGATACCCGAATTCAGATCTCTTCGAATGTCACTCATAGACCCCCTCCGCGTAACGACACGAACTCCAATATGGGTACATCCACTACTCTGGCGCCTTGACCACCTAGACGCATTTCACATATCCATCTCTACTGCCATCGTGGAGACCGCCGAGAATCCCCGAAAGGATGGAAGGCCCACCATAGTGGGCCATGGGTTCATAGGATCCCGAGATCTCAGATATATACTCCAGGATATCAATCTCCTTGAAACTTATTTGGCCTCATTTATCGCCCGTACAATCAATTCATTCCAGAAAGCACTAAAACCTAGACCATTCAGATTCTATTCACAAGAGTAAACAACAAATCCAAGTTACTTACTATTCCCCTCCACTCACATATCGGTGCTTCAAACTAATAGACTGAATAAATTTGGTGAATACAGTCAACGCCCTAAGCCTCCAAGCCCGCTCTTCACATTCTTAAACCATGTTATGCAGATTCACCCCGAGCTGGTTATACGTACTCGAAAAGGCTTCCCATTCCTCATATACAATTGCCCAGGGACCATATATACTCTCCGCCAGAACTTTACAAACACCCGTGCGGGTACCGACATTGAGTGGTTGCTAAAACAAACTGTGGTTAAACTCGACTTCAAACTCGAAGTTGTAGACCCGTATAATGTTGCTGCTGTGCTTGCTATCGCTCAGGAACAGCATTCTTGGTTTTGTAGGTCCAGCCTGACCCCTCCTAAGATACTAAAGGTACACCACCCCCACTCAATATTAACTAGTTTGTGGGTAAGCTTATGGTGGTGAAGGTGCATCTTATCACGCCGCATCCCACACTAGCCGCGGTATATTTCTACACTGCGGAAGTTCCGCTATGGTACTTGCGGGCGTTGATGGACCCCTACTTAAAAGTAGCTGGGAAAGTCCAGGTACTGAAAGAGCTTGTACAACTTCCGGTTCCTCCAGCTAGTGGCCAGGCAGTTATAACAACAGGGCCTTTTCTGGAGAGGTTAGGAGAGGTACTGGGAGAGATGAGGGTTCTTAACTTAGTTTGAAGTTTATTTCAAATGGCGCGATATCAAATGCTGAAAATTGCGTCATACTCACCTAAAACTGGAAATATGCCTGTGGAGTTATGGAGGTTTTCTTTCAGGTGATACGTTGAGTTTTATGTGCCTCCAGCTCAATCCTTAGGTGGAGATATACAAGCTTGGAATTTTCTAGGACGGTATGTGATTTTAATATAACTATAGGTAGATATCGACACCGCCCAGGTACGCCAAAAGAAGCTAGGTTTGCTTCTCGTGCCCAGTAACTGATAAGGTATCATTCCGGGGACTACACATATCGCCACCTCCTTATCAAGTCCTCGAAGAGTGTAACTAAGAGTAGGATACACATCCCGTGAGGCTACTAGGCATTGGTTATACTTGTGTAACTATCACCCCTCCCTCGTATCCCACCTTATCCCACCTACCACACCCCGCCATCTCCATCCCATGCGCCCATCTTTCCTGCATATGCCACCACTCACCGCTTAAAGTAAACAACCCTCCTATATTTTTCTAGATGATATTCATCCACGCGCGCAGCCAGCATGTGTTCCCGCCTTTCTCGTCCACCCTGTCCATCAAAAATAATATCGGTAGTCGTTTCCGTTCGGCTTATTCTGGCTCGGTTGATATTGCGAGTGACGCGACATGAATAGCTTTCGCGCCAAGGCAGGGCTGCATGACTCATATCACGATGGATAACGAATACGGGATCGGAGAATTTTGTGTTTGGGATCAGATTGTATCACTCGGTTTATTCGACGATGCATTTATGGAGCTCGGGGAGCTAAACCAGTTTTTTTTTTTTTTGGTTCTGGCAGTTTCCGAAATTCAAATCTACATCCTTCCAACATTTCTCTCAACCCGGCGCACACGCGACACAAATGATCTCCCCGAACTCGAAACTCGTAACATCAATTATTATATTAAGAGCAAAAAGCGCGTGTTACAAAAAAAAATGATTTCAAACAGATACCAAATTAAGAAAAATAAATAGATATTCCATCCCAACCCCCAACCATACAAACCTCTAAGTCGGCCCATAAACCCGCTCCGGTATTGTGCAAATTATATGCCTCTTTTCCTCCCATTCTCCGCCCCTCACCCCCCCCCCCCTCCTTTCCCCCGCGCACGACATTCTCTATTATCCCTGGGTATTCATTATCGTGTACCCCCCAGTTACCGAATCCATCCCTTGTCCCCATCCCCTGCCGTCGTTCATGAACATGAACTTGAACCCTAATCCATGCCGTCCCTTTCCCGAAAGATAAATGAAATTAAAACGCGAATACATATACCAGTGCAGTAGGGCGAAGTGGATGAAACATGCAAGACAAATTTTATGCAGATAGTGTGCAGATTTGATATAATAAACATATGTATGTAAATCCCCCTCATCCACCTGACAATAGAACAAAAAACTGGAACGCAACCGTTTGCAGAACATAAGAAATGAACAAGAAAAACCCCTAGGCTGCACAAGAAAGGAAATTCCGTATGAAAAAGAAGAACGAAAAAGATTTCACCGTCGTGAAAAGAAAAAACCGTGAACCAAAAGCACAAGAATGATGAACCTCCCTTTCCATCAAAGACAGCCCAAACCCGTCAACTCAGTTCCGCACGCGCTTCTTGAACGAAATACACTATGTAAAAGTAGCAAAACAAGTAACCCCGCGATGCCGCCAATCAATCAACAAACCCCATATGAACCATTTAAGGAAAAGCCGTAGAAAACTGCACAATAAGAAAAAGACCCAAGAACCCAACAATGAAACCATGACCCCTAGAGATATTTGATCCCTTCAAGAACAGATAAGACGTAAAGTTGAATTGACAAATAAAATGAAAAAGGAGTGGAAAAAAAAAAGTACACGCCCATACTATGAATTATTTGTTCGGCGAACATAAGAAAGTTAAACCCCCGCTGCTCAGTGGTCACCGTTTACCACAAACCACCCTTCTTCTTTTCACCACATTCGATTTCTGGGTTCTCCCTGACCCATCTCTCCACGTATTTTTTGACCGCAAACTTGCGATCTTTCCTAACCAACTCCTTAGACAGACCAGTGTACAGCGAAAGTTCGTCGTCATACTTTCGTCCCACGTTCTCAAATTCCAAGCTGAGATATCGCATGACACCGTAGACGAGTTCTTCAGCAACCTCGGCAGCATCGACATTGTCATGCTTCTTCGCTGGTGGCAGTGAGGCAACAGTGTAACCTGGCGACGGAGACATAGGCGCATATGAAACGCGAGCAGGTGCAGTTTGAGGACCCCCGGCAATTGCCAAAGCTGATGTGGGTGAGAGCATTTTCGATGTTGTCGATTCAAGAGAATCCGGGGGAGTTGGGAGCTGGGCGTTTCCTTTGTTGGCCGCAATACCGATCGGCTTTGCCATCGCAAGATCTTCAGTAGAAATGCGTGTGTTGTTGAAGCCCTTGTGCGGTTTCTCCTCGCGTTCATGGTCGAGGAAAAGTGGCTCAGGCTCCGGGACGGGTACCTTAAAGCGCGAGTAAACAGGTGAGTGACATATCGGATAGTCCTGCTCCTCTTCTGTCTGCTTAGTTTCGAGCATGCCAGGGTCTGTGTTGATAGCTGTCAACCTTGGGCGGATGGTCTCGGAGCTTTCGCTTCGGGCTCCGGTGGATGGGCCAGGGTCGCTAGCCTCGGTTCGGATCCTCTTATCGTCGTGCTTGTTTACATCCTCCGTGACGATGGGGAAGGGGTATTCTGACTCTTCTTTGGCCCTCTCCCGCTCGCGCCCAGCAGTCCCCAGTGCACCGTTCTTCTTCAACCCCCGCTCCAACCCAAGAATATATCCAGCAAAACCTTCATCCAGTGACTCTCGCCTATCGTGACTGCGCGATGCTTTGCTGACCTTGGAAGCGACATCCCATGTCGAGCTCGCGGCCGATGATGTTGGTGATGAGCTCAAGCTGGGACATCTAGAGCTTTGAGGGCTGACCATTGGACTTGGCGGGGCAGAGTCAATCGGTTCGTGAAGATGCGACACGTGATCGATAGGCCGAACCCAGGTCTTCTTGACCAACCGTCTTTCTCTTTCTCTGTCCCGTACGAATGGGGCGGTGTTATACAGTCCGGGAGTGTCAGGCTTGTCGGTGCTTGTTCTTCGGAGATGTCTCGCGCCAGCTTTTTCGCGGTTAGTCCATCTTGAAACCGAGACAGGCTGTGGCAACTCATTCGGCAGGGGCTGTTGCTGGTTTGCGTCAATCTGCATCTCCGGTAGTGGAACCCTGACGCGGTTTGACCTGCGGGAGGTCTCGATCGGTTGAGGTACCAGGGGTCTACCCGAGATGGGACGGTGTGAGCGTCTGGTGCTCTCGAAAGGTACGGGCAGCGGTGATGATGGCGCTTGGGTCGGTGTCATGGGACCAAAAAAGGAGGTAGTGGGTGTAGGAGGTCCATCCGGCTTCTGGATCGGGGGTGCCATGGGCCGGTTTGACCTCCTGGTAACTTCCATGGGCTGCGGAAGTTGGATGGAGTCGGGTCTGTTGGTTTTTTTGTTGACATCCACGGGCTGTGGGGAGAACATTGTCCCCTTCGGCGAGATGGTCGAGTGTCGGGCCGAGTGCTTTGGCGATACCTGTGCTCTCTTACCTACCTCAGCACCCTCGTCGTCCTTGCTCAGAGGACTTCTCCTGTTGCTCCTCCGCACAGTTTCAACGGGCTGGGGTAGACCCATCCATAAAGTCTCCTCCTCGCTCTTCTTGTTCTTAACCGGGGGCTTCTCAGGGCGGTGACTGCGCTTCGTCGTCTCAATTGGCTGAGGAAGGATGGGATTGCTGGGAGCGTACGACGAAACATTGTCAGGCAGGTTGGGGCGATGGTTTGAGTTTGGTCGGTTGCTCCTCTTGATGGTTTCGATCGGCTGAGGTACTGGCATGAATACCTTACCGCGTCTTCCTGATGCTCGTACACCGCCCGTAGCAGTTGATTTCGAGGTCGTTTCTACAGGCTGGGGCAAGGGAATCACTGCGGGTGTAGTCTTCTTCTCTTCCACTGAAACCCTCTTTGGCGCCACATTCTTTTTGGTTGCCCACTCTAGTAGCCTCTTTTCCCTTGCGGCCTCATCTGCTATCTTTTTTGCCTCTGCCGCCTTCTCTTCCTCTGATTTTCCTGCCTCGAGTAGTCTCTTTCGGGTAGCCTGGGTAAGGGCACTGGCCTGACTTGTTTTGTCCTCCGGTTTTCTAACCAGCTTGCTCCGGAGAGAAGCTTCAACTCTCGTTGGGGGAGGGATTGGGGGAAGGAATCCAGTCACAGAACCCAGCCACATGATCTCGTCCATGCTCTTCTTCTCCTTTGGCTCGTAGAGTTTCTTCCTCCCATCATCTGCGCTGGTGTTCCTTGAGTGAATGGTCAAGCGAGTAGTATGGGTTGTGGCACCGACGGTGGGAATTTGGGGGGGCTGCAATGGCCTGTTGTTGGGAGCTTTCGACCGAGGGGCTGTCTCCACAGGTGGCGGCTGCCATACGGAGAGCCTACCAGATGTTCCGGCAGCTGATGGTTGCTCAAAGAATGGGGAGAAGAAGCTTGGAGCTTCGTTTGGGATTTGCTGCCGAGGGGCAGCATTCTGTAGTGGGTTGAGTCCCATTTCGACGGTGGGACCTCGTTGAGGAGGATTATTGCTGTGGTAGTTTGTTGTAATAATAATGGGGGGGTATCTGGCGAGGTAGATGAGATAGATTCGCGGATTGTTATTTATGAAAGTAGATTTCTCCGTTCCGATGGACGATGAGTCGGAGTTGTGGGACGGGGGGTTGGAGGAGACGCAGATAAGACAAGGTAAATCCGGGGAAGGCAAGGACTAAGTACCACGAGGTGACACGGGGAGCTACTTGAAGAAAAAATGAAACAAAAAGCAAAAATAAATTCCAAGAGAATCTACTTTCGATCACACCACGTCAGAAACAAATTTTGTGCGAGTTGTGAAGAAAAAGGAAGGAAAGATCATGTGTAGGTAGAAGGGATTAAAAACTGAGACTCTGGAATGACGAAATGAGCTCGCGTAATGGGAGGCAAGGCATACCGTTTGTTTGCAAAAAATACTTTACAGCCAAATAGAAACGGGTATCTTTACGGAGCAGGTCCAATCGAACTGACGGATGACGCCGCTCCCCACGAAGTGTGTCCCGGTTTTCTTGGTGGAGCCGTATGACCGTTTGTATCTGGCAAGGAAGTTTACGAGTACTACTCGTTGCTGACCTATGGGAACCGACGAATGGATATGGAGGAGTGCCCTAAGCCCTGCCAAAGGTGTCTATCCTAATTCAGGCTTTGGTAACTGGGCAGAAATATGTGTGGGGAGGTTTCCAGGTTCTTTGCTTGATGTTGCCCCTGGTGTTAAATCGTTTGTAGTCCAGTTCCGTTTTCCTCAAATCTCGATCAGTTCGATTCGAATACTTTTTGCTGGTGCTTTTCTCCGTTGCGGGGGGGATGCAAGAAGCAGTAATAAGGGGATCGAGAAGAAGAGGAGGGGATCCGGTTTTTTTTTTTTTGTTTTACGCAGTTGAAAAAATTCCTGTGACACGTTGGCTACCACCCCTAGACTATTTCTCGAGAAGAAATACTCCTACTTTTTCCGTGCGGTTTGAATTATTTAGTTTTTTTTTTTCCTGCTGTCGGTTTCTTATCCGACACACTTTCACGCACGTCTTTTCAAAGAAGGATGGATAAAGAGCCGCTGTGCAAATCCCGGCCGGTAGCTTTGGAGAGCGTTATGCAGTGTGTGTGTGGTGGGTTGTGTGTGGTGTGAGGGCTGCTGTGTGTGTGTGTGTGCAACCCTGTGGGCGTGGAGTGTGGCCTCTTTGTTCGACTTTTATGACGGTCTTTTTTTTGCTCTCTGTTCGGCTGCAAACCTCCAGGATGTTATTTTTTTGCTTTTTTAAAATATAATATCGAGTACCGGATAGGCTGGATAACGATTTCTGCCGGTGAATGAGGCAATGGGATGTTATTCGAGTTTATGGGTATCTCCGGGAAGTGGTTGCCCGCTGGCAGCGAACAGTGGGGAAGCAAATCTATCAATTCGAAGAACGGCGAACGTTCTCGGCTGTTGAGAATTGTAGAGCGAATGGGAGAAATCTAGAGCAATGGGGTTTCAAAAGCAAGGGGGCCGGGCAGAAGTGAAGAATGGAGATGGATTATGCAAAGGGAGGAAGATGGGCACAAACGCTGTTTTGGCCTTCAAAGAGGAGGGGCTATTGCGTCTGTCTAGCTGACTGATGGACAATGCTCCCCACAATTGCAGCTAAAAGATGATGGCAATATTTGGACACAGTTCAGCGGGGCGGCGAACGAGTGGCGTAAAAGTAGGGCCAGTTACAGTAACAATAGCGATAATGATAGTTCAGGGGTGTGAGCAATTGCAATTGAGTTCTTTTCCCCGGAAAGGAGTGGGGATATAACAGAAGGGAGAGAAGGAGCACAGTGAGAAAGAAGAGAGAAAGATGGAGGTTGATGAGCAATCCTACCGAGCAAGAGGTGATTTGAGAAGACGCCAGAGAGCAGATGACAAGCAAGATCTGCTACTCTAGTTCTCAATTACGGAGACAGGAGGAACGTTATCCCGTAGCTGTAGACTTCGATCTAGACATACAACACCAAACACTTCAAGACTCCCTTACCTTACTGATTCCTCTTGTGATTCTTTTTGCAGACGAATTGATACCTCATGTCTTCTCACTCAGCTGTGTTGAAAATTCAACAAAGCTTTCGCTGTCCCTTCTGCATCACAACTCCCGTCCGTGTATTGCCTTTTCACGTTGATTGTCCTACACCTAGGCAACTCAATTGCAGTTCTCTCCGCACGGGTCGGGTCTTTTCATTGCTGGAACTGGAATTGGGCCATATATGATCCAATTATAGGCCTCGCGGAACTTTACTTTAGGTACATGTGAGCACACGCATATTGAGCACAGAAGTCAAGTACTCCAGAGTGAGTACCTCTACATGTATGTACTTGTAATCCGTAGACGAGTCGTTAAATCCAGCAGGTGCGAGTCCAGAGTCTCGTCTACAGGACTACTTGACTACTGAATGGCACTCTACCGGCAACCAGCAGCATGGGAGAGTAACGCAGCCAATTGCGCCCTGACTGCAACACGGCATTAGAGCAACCAGGCCGGTCTTCTGCCTAGTCTAGGTTGGGAGCACTAAGCGATATACTAAGCTCCCCCATGTCCAGTCCACTCCACAGGACCACAGATCATACTCATCAACGCTACGACATGCCTAGGAGACGAGAAGCCTCTCCACAATGTGAATTAACTGTCCGTCCGTCCTAGGCAGTCTCCCACTCCCGCCCCTTAACATTTCTCTTTCATCTCGATTGGATTCTCCACACTGGTGCCACTGGCGGTTGACTCGGCGATACGAACACGTTCCGAATTTAAACAGCTGTCGTGGAGTACTACTACTCTACATCTAGTAGTGCTATACTGAGCCCAGTATGTACCTACTGTACTCGACACACAGCAGCAGCAGTTATCACACACAGGAATGTTACCGTATGTCGTTGTACCTGTTATACATATATCCTATTTCATATTCCCCCGGTAATGCTGGGTAGATATCAATGATTGGAAACGGAAGAAAATGAAAATAACGGGGAAACATAGTTTTTATGCAATGTATGTAGGTACATAAGCACGATGTTCCTCCCCCCCCCCCCCCCCCCCGGGAGTTAAAACAGGCACCAAGTCACGCGCTACACCCCATCTCATATCTCGCTGCGCTGCTTGCTGCAATGCAACGCTCCACCACATCCCATCCCATCTCAAAGATCCCAGTTGGGAAAGAAGAAATAAAGGAAGCAGTTGGGGAAGGAAGCAGAAACGGAGGGCGGACGGATCAATCAAATCTAATCCTTTTCTCACTGTGCCCGTGCGCCTGCAGCCAATGCTTGTTGTCTCACTCGGTCCTGGTCGTTTGTCGTTGGTCGTTGCCGGTCACCCCACAATCACTTGCCTTACATATCGTACTTCCCACATTACCCCCCGCTACTGCACATTTTGCTTGTTTGCCTGCCTCAACAGCAGCAGCGACATATGTGCTGTCTTTCTAACGAGAAGAAATTCGTCAAAGATCTCTTTCTCGAGGTGGTTGGATACGGACTCTTGGTTCGTCTGCAGAGTTACTCACTCAACCCCAACACCTATGGCGCGAGAAGGCCTAGAGGGCGACTTCAGAGGAATTTCGTTTGTATGGGAATCTGAGAAAATGCTAGGGTTAGTCTAGGCGCTAGTACCATTATGGCCAATTTCTCTAAGTTTGATTGGCTGATTCTTTAAAAAAGCCGAAGTTTACACACCTACCCCCCATAGCTTCTCGAGCCATAGAATTAAGGAAGAAGTGTCGAGAAGAAGAAAAGAAAGCACTTAAACGGGAGCCTCCGATACCCCAATCTCCTCGTTCTTCCCCATGTCTTGATACTTGTAAGCAGTAGTGGAACTTGGGGGTAGCTTAGATACAAGCACCTAGTACACTACTCTAGCTACTACAGAACACTGCAAGCAAACCTCGACCTCTTCAGTTCCGTGTCCGCAATATCCCCTCCTCCTTCCTCCCCCACGCCACGCAAAAAATTACGGAGCAAGCACTGGTCCAGGCCGTTATGGAGTTTTCCCCCTTCGCTTTTCGCCATGGGTGGTTCAAGAGAGTGAAAAAGGGCAGGCGAACGCGAAAACTCGGACGCATGCAATCTATTTTTGCATGCACGCCAAGCGCACAGACAGGCTCGACCACACCCTCAAGAAAAAAGAAGAACGACGCCGCCATGTTAGGGATTGATCGGCCTGAACACCGTGGCGCTCACCACACCACAGGTGCTCTATGTAGATACTGCTCTAGCTCTGCCTTGCACAGCTCCTAGGCCTTCAAAACTCATTTGATTTGCAACTTGCAGCAGGTTGCTGCCCTCTATCCTTATCGATGGGAGGCTGCATTCGTTGCCAAAAACTTCAAGGCGCAAGTTGACTTTGGAATTCTTGTGGTTTTGGGATTTTCCTACTGGTGACATGTTAATGACAGAATAGAGTACCTACATGTAGTCTACACGTTCTTGGGCGTAAGATATGCTCGATAGGCACCATGAACAATAAGAAAGATTTTCATTAACCTACATGATACACGCACAATCCTGGACGTTTAACCGGCCTCTCCCCCTCCCCCCCCCCCTCTCCCTTCCTTCCTTCTTCACCAGGGGATTGACGCTTATTCTGTCATCTTATTTCATTCAGATGTCACCGGCAGGAAAACGCTCCCAAAATTCTAAATTCTAAAGACAACTTGCGCCCTTGGAACCGGGTCTCGTCTTATCGATGCTTGACGTTCATAATCGGATCTCAACACTACGCAAGAGATGTGTTGATACATGACGCAAAGTATGACCTAGGTGGAGCTGTATCTAGAGTACAGCTGCAGTCCTTTGTCTGGTTTATATAAAAAAAAATCTGACATGTGAGATAACGAAAGCAAGAACCCTCCCGTCCGGAACCTAAATGGATCATCGTGGTCTCGGTTCGGTCCGACACTTGTCTGTGGAACCGGCGGGGCTGTCGGATCTTCTCAACCGGAGGGAAACCGGCAGCGCGGGATAAACTTATTTTTATCTATATAATAATTATTCTCGTATGTATTTTTATAATTTATGATAGAGACTAATGTAGGTACAGAAAGAATCCACAAAAGTAGAAAGGAAACAACTGCCGTTTGAAAAAACAGAATAGATGACGTATCTCGCTTCGCTATCGATAGTGAGTTCTTTTTTCTCTCTTTTTTTTTTCGTTTCGCAATTGCTCACGGGGGCAGAATTGATTTCAAAAAGCCGCCTAGAGGCTCCCGCTAAATTCGTGGTTACTCCGCAATTGTGGAGATACCGGGGAAGAAGGATGAGGTGGAGGAGGAGGAAAAAGAATTAATTCCCTCGGATAATAACGCTAGTACTTTCCTAAGGGTATTCGTGGCAGCCACAGTGTTGAGTTTAAAACTCATTCATTCCAACACTTACCAGAATGTCCCAGAAGCAAGGTGAGGAAATTAAAAAATTACCAATGACCCAGCGCCAGCTGTTATCCAAATTCAGATTTTTCAGTAGCCACTGCACTCATTCAAGAAACACATCCCACTGCCCTTCCATGCGTTCGCAGCAGGAACTTTGCCTATCTTGAAATTACATGCAGACGTCAGGTACAACATGCAGATAATCTAGTTGGCACCGGGATTATGTTGTGCATGTAACAAATCCCCTACTCTTGCTGTGAATTTGTGATATCAGAAACCTATGGATAGGGTGCATATTAAATTGAGAAAAGCATGCGATGCCCAATCTAGGGCTGCGAGTGTGGCAACTTCCTGCCTGTGAATGACAAACTAGTTGGTTTAGTTGTAGCTGATTAGCTATCAGGATTATCGGAATTTGACTCGTGTATTACTTTGTTTTTGGTGCTTTCATGAATCATAGGAATTAGTTGTGCGAGTACCCAGATTTGAGGCTGGTGTGACACATTTTGAGAGGAGCAACGAAGGAGGGGTATGTTTGACCATGACTCTTCCTTCCCATGATACGCGGATACCCTTTCAACAGAGTTGCGAAATGGACCGTTGGGAGTTTCCCCACTATCTATTAGCTAGCATGTAGCAGAAGGGGGGGATGAAGCTTTGAAACAAAGTACGGAGGGAGGCACGGGAAAACGCATACCGGTGCGGTCTGTTCAGCTGACCGCCGCGGTAAAAGTCGGATGAGCTCTCATCTGTTTGTCCGGGGTAACTCCGTTTCCCCGAGAAGTCGAGTGTGCCGAGGGAGGTTCCTTCCTCACACCGAGCTCCGATGACCTGACTGAAAGTAACGCCAGGGGCATGTAGGCATCAATCAGCCCATTGCAGTTGGCAAAAAGCGTGCAATCCCTCGCTAGCAATCGAGATCGATGTACCAGGCCTCTACAAGGGAATTTAATAATGAGCTTTTTAATATCATTACCGGTCCTTTGTAGAATAATGGAGCTACCACAAAATCCCCCCGGCATCTGAGTTGCGGCGGACAGTAGTAACGTTACAGAACACGGCAAGCTATCTGGTCTGGTTGATTAGAAGATAGATTAGCGTTGGCATTTCTGAAAGCTTCAGTAACACCACCGTTCAACTGCCCATTGATACATACCTCCACTATGATACATACATCAGGCGGCCAAGAATTCTGGAGAATAGATTGAGTGCATGCATGCATGCACTGTAGCTGGGAGAGTAAAAACACGGTATCGGTATCGTGGGTGGCTGGAGTATGTATGAACCTACATACTCTAGAGCAGAACAGTGGTACAGGTTCAAGCAAGCATGAGGGGCCGAGAAACAATTTGTAGAACAATGTTGAGGACACGATGCATTGGAGGTACATCACAAAGGATACCTACATACATGTATCCACGCTACTATAAATAGAACCACCAGAGGGCATGCCTGCCACCAATCACAAGTCTTCCTTCATCTTGATCACGACCTCGGGGCTACTCTAATAATCCGAGTGACGAGCGTCTCTATTCGGTTTCGCAACGGAGAAACCATCGTTGTCAATGCCATGGAGTAGAGAAAACTGCCACCAAGGATTCTAGGCTGGATCCTTCTTGCCCCGGGATTTACCTGCAATAGTTAGGCGAGTCTCTCACTTCGTTACCAATGTGATCGACATGTGCGTACCCGTCTAACCGCACGTACTTACAGATTTGCCTCACGCTGCTCCCCCGGGTAGGTGCTCGAGATGGGCTTGTCTCAGTCGGGGAATTGGTTGATCAGTCAGAATTGATAATATATTGCAAGGTATGATATAGCCCAGCATTCATGCGACTGGCAATGATAATTGTACGCTCTCGCTCTGTGTTGGTTTTCATGAGTTGAAGTTTACAAGGCACGATGACGATGACGATGAGGCTCAGTGCCATGCCACCACTCCATGTCTTGGGTGGTGCGGGCCGATCAAATTTGGTTTTAAGGTTAGACATCACTTACCAAGAAAGCTTGTGCAGTCGCTTATCTCAAACCGTTCCCAGAATATCGGTCCGGCAGCTAGCCGTACGACACTACGCCACCGAAGATGGTAGTTTTTACCAACACACTTTACACACAATTCTGCAAAGCATTATCGGCTCACTTTCATCAGGACCTCCGAAATTATTCTTCTTGTTTCACTCTCGATTTCTGCAAGAATCCGTGGATCTAGGTATGTGGGCCATGCTGTCGCCCTTCACCCGTTCGATCGCTTATTATGTACTCGCGACCAGCAACAAGAACCCGAAAATGCACGTCCTAACCTGCAACTTCCATTGGAGTAGAAGTCAAAAATACAGCAAAGACTTGCAGCTGCATATTCGGGTTCTTGTTGCTGGTCGCGAGTATTATTACCTACCTTCATCCCATTGGAAGGCCGGCATACCGCATACACACCTCGAGCACCTACTCCAAATAGCAGTTACACAACGGATTTCTAGCCACCATGTGAACCACAACTACGTTACATGATATGATATGTAAAGGCAAGCAAGCACATACAGTCAGTCATGTGCTTCTCACGACCGCTTTACTCCTTGCGAAAGTCTCATTTCCTACTTCGATCTAGATGGAGAACATACCACATTCCATATTCTCTATACAGACAATACAAAAAATCAGAGTTTTGGGGCTGCATAAAAGTCCGGGGAAAAGAAAAATTCGTATTGTGCGGGGTGCATGGGGATCGTGGATCGGGATCTTGGTGTCCTCATCGAGTGTTTTCCTTGTTAAGGAACAGTTTTTGCTTTTTTTCCCTTTCCCGCGGCATGGTGAACCTCATGGGTCGTGGAACGTATAATGTGGTAAAGAAGCTCCCTTCGTTTTGCAAGGACCAATAATTAGCTATGGGGTGTGAAGATGTCCAGAATCCAAAGAGTTGTTTCTTCCGATGGAAACACACATAGCACGACTATGGATTGTTACCGTGGATTACCTACGCCAGGAGGCTACCCTTCTAGCTACTAATAGAAAACCGATTTCTTCGACTTTTGGATCACAATTTGTTTTTTGTCACGATATAAGACGGGCATATAGTGTGCATCTCGTGACGCGTATGGATCGAGGCTGGAAAGGATACAATAACCAAATTAACCCTAACTAACCCAATTAATAACTCTCACCAACTAACTGGCCTTCTCTTGAGGTATGTATCTAGTACTCATACGGTACTTGTAACCTGTGTACGGGGTTTTCTCGCTATGGTAATTGCAATTGTAGCATGATTTGTCGGGGAACTCGTTACAGAATCCTCGGCCTCCGACTGCGTTGTCAGTTGCGCCGCCGCATCCCACGCAACCCAACGCGTTTACCACGGTACCAACCCCCCGATCCTCGCCCCGTCGGCGCCTCCTGTTTAGTTATAATATAATGGTGTGACTAGTAGTTATGTGCCTACTCCCGAACGCAGGGTCTTTGGATTTCTGTCGCCGAATGTACTCATACTGTTGTCTTCTTGGGTCTGGAGATCACACGAGATCGCTTGCGACAAGTGGTATGTAGCCCCAGGTTTTCGATTCCTAATCCCAACTGCAGGAGAGGTTCTCGTGATGGTCTTTCACTCAGCTGGTGACAGCACGGTTTAAAGGTTGCTCTACCTACCCCATTCTTATCACCGTCGGCACTACCTAATGCTGAATGAAATAGTGACACTCGTAATTTACATATCCCTCATGATCCTTAGAGTATCTAATGGGAGACCCAGCTAATCCTGAGTAGTGTCCTGAGTTTCCACGCTATGCATTAGGTTTGCTGCACCCTATGCACCCGCATCGCATCGGGGCTATCCCAAAATCGTGAGAAGCGCGTGACGAATTTTCTTCCTTAGACACATACTCTACTTTTTACTTCTTGATTCTCTTGGCAGGTCTCATCTAGAAATATAGCTTGGATTTAGATTTCCGTGGCGAGTGATTAGTCGTGAACCTCAGCAAATCGGAAGTCCAGTAGGACTTTAAGGTTTCAATGCTGTCTCCGATGTGTTTCTCGGGATGCAGTTGCTTTGGGAACGAGGACAATGATTATAATACAGATTCAAGGTACCTCAAGGTGAACAACTATTACACTTGGAGTCGTTGCTAGTTGGTCAGCCTTAAGTGGGAGCCGCAAGGTCTTCTCCCGGTGAAAAGAGTTTTGGGAAGGTTTATGAGGAAGTTTATTCGTTTACTTAGGGGTGGTGGGTATCCGTCAATGGTAGTTGTGAGGACGAGTCACAAGCCTGAATTCGGGTATATTGCCCCTTTTGACTGTTCCACGGCGGCTTGCCAATGCTAACAGGTGAGAATATAGCTGGGAATACTAGCTGGGCGGGACAAATGAACATTCAGCGCCTTCGATTATAGGAAGTAGATAAACATCTTGTCTCTACTATAGGATTTACATCTTCGAGTGCTCTAGGAACCTATTCTAGGTAGTTGCATACGGCAAGCAATGCCAGGGAACTTGGTGCGAGATGACAATCATCTCTCAATAGATTCAGGGCTAGGGCTTCTACGGTGTGTTTTTCCCGTGTGCAGTGCAGTTTAAAACGTCCCATGCAAGAACGATCTTTGTTCGAAAGCGGACTATATTGCGGGAAATAACAAGAGTGATGATCGATGATACCTTCCAGAATGCCCTGCATTCTGGATCAGGGAATTGATAGCGTGACAGACGTGTGCTGCGCATCAGATCCAGCAAAGACGCGCGTATCACAACCGCCAAACCTGTCACTCTGGAAATCTCCGACCAGATGCACGGGGATGCGTCTTTTTTAATTGCCTCCCGCCAAGGCAACCGAACGAACGAACGGTGAGCAGGTAGCGACACGACTGGGCTGCTAGCGTCTGGAACCCTTTAAGATTATTCTTTTAGGTTATTCCGTGTGTTGTCTCGGCCGGGCGTACGGCTTCCGTTCCGCTTAACCATTGGGCCAGTTTTCAGGAAAGGATCGACAGGATTGCCGGTTTTAGCGCGGGGATCGACACCATATGTGCTATACCAGTAATCATGGATTCTCACTCGGAAGTCTTGCCGATGCTTAGTGGATTTCGGGAGTTAAGAGGCAATCGGAGCGTTGAGCCTCGGGAAACGATTAGTACTGCGGTGAGATCACGGTAGATATCGCGATTTGCGTGTGAGATTTATGCATAGGGAATCAATCACTCGCATCTTGGGGGTTCACGCAGTATGTTTCATTCACCTAGAGTATTTGAGATCTAATCTGGTATTGTAATCTAGATGGAACATTGATTGACCTACTGTGTAGCCTGGATAAGTTTATCTCCATTTCGAACATCGAGCCAAACAAAACGTAGGGCGAAACAAATCCCTGGGAATCTGGGCGAATCACCCGCTGTGTGCCAAAAGGGTTAACTTAGCGGTGCGGCGGGTTCCCGAAGACCAACCGCTTATTTCATAGTTTTTGCAAAATATCTACCGATTTGTTCTGCCGGACTGGCGAAGACTTTCACCTCTGGGGCCACGAAAGCGCCGACCCGACAGTCCCTCTTGCCGCGGGGGGCAGGCCGATTCCAAATTGATATGCCCTATAATAAAGTACTGCGATTTTTGGGCATCATTTACCTCTTTTGACGGAGACCTTCTAAGAGTTTTATTTTGGTCTACTTACTCTAGAAGGGACATCTGCATATGTGCGCATATGATCATTGGCAGGGTAAATATATATCCCCGCTTCGAAGATCCGGCTACGCGGTACAAGTCGCGAATTAAGTCCCTGGAGATCTACGGAAATCAACTCTATATTGTGTATATCCTTCCTCTCAAGAGACGATTGACAGGGGAAATCGGGGAAATATGGCGCACGACGGAGCGGGAATGTCAATTACGACAAGGCCCCTCGTGGACGGTATAGGGCCCTGCCCCAGGATCGTGTCGATCTTTTAGGAGTATATACGTTTTAGTCCCTGGATGGCGTCACTAACGACTGGATAAGTGACCCCATTCGCCGAGATTTATGCATCCGCCGCGGAGGATTATATTGGCGGTGCGCGCAGTAGCCCTACTGCAAGCACATCTCCACAGAGATTACTCGGGAATAGATTCTATGTGTATGTGATATAATAGTATATATTTATTTATTCTACAAGTGAATATATTAACAACTACGACCATAGCCACATCGAAGGGTTTTAAGGGATCATGTACCGGAAATTTAGTAGCTGGAGCTCGGTTTTATTGTCCTCTTTTTCAGCATCTGACGATTTCCCTGTTGATCGGAGTTCACCACAAGAAATTAAGAATCCGCGATGAGGGAATAACCAACAGAAACAAATGTAGATAAACTAAGAATCTAATGAAGTAACAGATGTCTCGCCCCGAGGGTGGCCCACCATGGAGACAACATACATGTATTGGTGAAACTCTCGATCTTCGAACGTTTATACCAAGAAAAGCTGCTCTCAACCATGTATCAAATAAGAGCAACGCAGCCGCCAAAACCCCGTCACTATCACAATTTTCTCTGTTACCTCGCTTGTTATTGTAGCTAATGAAACCCTGGTCTAACAATGAGTGAGGATTGGCTCCGTCTAATTCTGATAACGCGCAATCCTGTTATCTCCAGATTTCCCGAATTAGTTGTATGTTTATTGCGAATCTTTCCCAATAATGGACTATTTTCGTTCTTGGTGTCTCGAGATTGGTGTAAATTTTGTCTCCTAGAAAAATACTGGTGTGCATGCCGAAAGGCTTGGCTTACTCTGAGCGTGATATGATGTGATGGAGCGTCGTGATATGTGAAGGAGCACACGGCCGGGGGCTTGTAAGACTCGATTAAAGAATGTTCCAGCTCAGACTCTTGTCCAAGTATGCGCTTACCACTAATAGAGTTTTGTGCTCCTAAGAGCGCAAAATCAAGGCAAGGTAGACTTGCATAGTTTATTCTCAAGCCTTCGCCTCGTCTCTAGCTCTGGACTTTAACATCTCGATCGTAGATAGATCATATCGTCCCAAATCGATACAAGAACGGAAGGTAGTTTAACAGTTTTGGAGGGGGTACTTCGGACGGTTCTAGGGCTTCAGATTCAGATTCAGATCGGGCTGCATGGACACTTGGCTGCTAGCTGTATCGTATGTAGTTTGGTACTTGGTACTACATGTCCGGGTTCCTTCTTATCAGAAAGGAATCATTCGATATATATCTGTTGATTAAGGTTTCTGTAAAGAGGAATCTATGCAAGATATCAGTACCGTCGTGTCCGAGGGGTGGGCGTATGATATGATCGAACTTGCCAAGATTGATTCCTGATTCATTGATGGATGCATCGATGGATGGATGGTATTTTGTATCGTTCCACTAGATGAAAACACCGTGAGTCTTACTCGTACTGCCAGATTAAAACTGGCCTGACAAACATAAAAACTGCAAAAAAAAAAAAAGATGAACGCTTATTGGCTGCCAGATCACTATGTAGCCACAGCTCCCTGGGCGGCTCCAATCCGGCCATATGGGTATGTAAGCTGACAGTGTCTCTTTGCGCCTCGATGATGAAGGTAACTGGGGCTTAGGCCTACGTAGTCAGCTCACACAGATTCAAGTAGCTATGTACGTAAAGCGAAAATGTCGAGTGATATATTGTGATTAGCGCCATCACAGCGATGGGGGAAATCTTACTGACACTCTCTCTTCCCTGAAGAAATGTAAGAAAGTAAGTGGAAATGACTATCCCGATGAAACAGGGCTGGATATAGCAAGAGTGTGTACTCTACTTCACCAACCATCACTCGCCCCGTGCTCCCTCCCTAGGAATATTAATTAGGGAAAAAGGTCTAAAATTATACAGTTTCCGGTATACGTGCTCTGTAATAACACATGATGCAAAATACTACAGTTTATTGTCTACCCGATCGACCTGACGCCGAGAGAACAAAGACAGTTGGGTAAAGTTAGCAATAAGGTCGATTCCCGGCCCCACTACTGACCCCTTCCTCCGGATCCCCTAAAGAGGTCAAACATCAAAATAGCGTTTTCTAATTTATTTTATTATATAAGAGGAGGAAGAAAAGAAAGAATAAAAGCTTCTATCAACAAAACCGCAAAAGGTACTGTAGCGACTTATTGAGAAATTTGCGACTACTACCCCACCCCTGATTTGAACCCAGGACCTTATGTGTGTATTGGTTGTATCCTGGGTATGCTCGGTGTCGACGGGCAGTCTATCCACTAGACCACCCGCCCATAGTGGATTCTGTGCTGGAACTGATATCTGAGCTTGGCAGTGTGCCAAGATGAAATGCTCAGCCATCTAGCCCTATATTTATTTGTTTTGTACAAATCATAGCGAGCTGTGTCGTCTTGTATCATGTGTTATTGTAGCTAGAGTACAGTGTGTCTACCAGAAACCGTGCTATTCTAGACCTTTTTTCGCATTAATTATCAGCGGCTTCTTTATACACATACGAACGTGTATGTGGTAGAAATCATTTTTTTATAAGTATCGTCTTGTGGGAGTTAGTAGTTGGGTCAATTGATCAACTACAGTACTGCCCCGGTTCCTGTGAAATATATATTACAGTTACTAGCAAACTATAAACATCAAGTCCCCCCATCCCCACCACAATGCCATTTCCGGCCCCCAAATACCCTTCATTTCTTGAAGAAATTGGTAATCATCGGCGTCCCATCCTTCACGCCCTTCCCCATCCTCCTACCAGCACCACCACCACCACCCTCCGGTTCGCAGCATTACTCGTGGCAGACCTCACCCACGGCGGCGTCTCACCCGTCTTTGCCACCTTTGCCGGCGGCGACAAGACATCACTGGCATCGTATTCCCGCTTGAGCGCTGCTGTGGTGGTGGTGGTGGTGGTGGTGGTGTTTGGGGCGTTGTTTTTGAGGGTGCCTGAGGCGGGCTCTGGGGGATTAGTGGCACTGGAGGCTTCGTCTTTGAATTCCTCTTCTGGCCAGGTTTCCCATTCTTCTTCGGGGTTGTGCTCGGTTTTAAAGGCCTCTGGCCAGGTCTCCCATCCGTCGTCGTCGATGGGGATTTCAGTTTTGAGGTCCGCCTCTTGCTTAATATTGATATCCTTGGTGTCTTCCAGGTCGTTCTTGGGCATGAGGTGCTTACCCTCTTCCCCAGCCTTCATATCCGAATCCTTCTCCACCTTCTCCCCTACCACCAAAGCACCCTCCGTAGCTTCACCCTCGTCAGCCTCCTCCTCCTCCTTCCCCTTCCCCTTCCCCTTCCTTCCAAAAAAGCTCTCAATCCCCCCTTCAACCCCCCAACCGGCTGCACAAACCAGCTCTCATCCCTCTTCACATTCCCAACCTCCATGGCCACCCTATACACCTCCAACTCCCCGCCCCACGGCACACACACGCCCTGCAGCCCCTCCCCCCACCTCTCCCCCGGCGCCAGCCACAGCCGCATCTCCTCCGACCCCGCCTCCACCACCACCGGCATGCGCTCATGCAGGAAGCGCATCGCCGGCGCCGCCGCCGTCGTCACGATCGTGTATGAGTAGTACGGCGTGCCACCACCACCGGGGGGGGTGTAGGACTCCCAGAGGCCGGCAAAGTACACGAGGCGCCGGTCGCGCCGCTGGATGTAGTGCGGGAGGCGCTGCTGCCCGGAGGTGGGTTTCTGCCATTCGTAGAAGCCCTGCGCGGGGATGAGGCAGCGCTGGGTGTGCTTGAGGGTGCTCCAGAGGCCGATGGAGTGGCGGAGGGTGGTGTCGCGGCAGTTGATGGTTGTGAGGATGGGAGTGGGGGGCGTGGGGGTGGTGTTTGTGGAGGTGGTGGTGGTGATGGGCCAGGACCAGGAGGGGATTAGGCCTGCGGGTGTTAGTTGGAGTATGGCAGACGGAGAGGGGAGGAAGGGGTGGTGGAGGAGAGTGGTGAAGAGGAGCTTTGGGGAGAAGCTATGGAGGTGTGATGTCCTTGTGTGGAGACTACCGGCCGAATATCAGCCTCCACACAGGTTCCGCGTGAACTACCCAGAACCCACACACCTCCGCACCCCTCCCCTTCTCTCCAGCACTCAAACACACACACAGAAAAAGCCACTAACCCACCGCATCGCCGTCAACCCATACCTCGTCCCCCCCCTCCCTTCTCACCCCTCTTCTCCCCCGCACCATCCACCTCCCCTCCTCGGGGAGCGCACGATACACAGGCTGATGGCTCCCCGGCGCAACATTGTACCCGCTGCGCACCTCGCGCGCGAGCGGCTCCTCGTCCACGGGGAGGCCGTCCTGGATCAGGCGCTGCGCGAGGTCCGCGGGTGGGTAGGCGAGCGCGTATCTGTGCTGGTTTGTTAGTTGTGTGTTGTGGGGGAGGAATGCTGGGGGAGGGGTGGTGTGGGGCTACTGGGGGCAGGGGGGCGCGGGGGAATGCTGAGGGTGGGGGGGGGGCGGATAGTGGGGTACTGGGGGCGGGGTACTGGGGGCAGGGGGGGGCGCGGGGGAATGCTGAGGGTGGGAGGGGGGCGGATAGTGGGGTACTGGGGGCGGGTTACCTTCCGCACATGGTGGTGAGCTTTGGATAGCTAGCTGTGATGTGGTGGTGAGATATGTTTCTGCTGTTCTGAGAGCTCTGGTGGCGGTTTAGAGGTTTAGACCCCGCTGCACGTGCTGGGACGATGAAGTCATGGCTTGGTATCGCGGTGTCACGTGGTCGCTGGTAGTGGGTTAGGGGTGTGGATGTGGATTAGTCATTAGCTGCTGTTTAGTAGGATTATGTAAGTAGAGTAGAGCTGTGTAAACAACGACACTCTGCTGCGGTGGGTGTAAAGGGGTGCAATGATGGGGGGATTGGTGGGGTGTGCGGTTTTGGTGCTGTGCGGGTGTTTGCACTCGGTATATGGGGTTTGCATGGTGGGGTTTGGTTTACAATGGGGTTTATACTCATGGCTGGTGGTTGTTGGGGGTGCAAGACTCGAACTGTGGAAAGTAAGTAGTGCAAGGGGATTGTAGAGATGTGTCTTGATTCTTGAGCGGAATGCTCAGCTTGCACATACTCAATGTCTATTTGCACCTGCAATATAGCGTTTACAGAGCTTACACTGCTAGCTATAGGCAGTGAGTGTAAAGCGTTTCATATACAGGTGCATAATATATACTTGCAAACCAAATGCAAGGATTAATTTTAATCACTATCTGCATACTATAGTTGCAGAAAGCCCTGTATGTAATTACAAAAGAGTTAGGGAAGGATAGTACAGTGCGAACCAGAGACACCGGACGAAAAAAAACAGCATGTTCATTCGTCGTTCTCTATTTCACAAACTCCGACGGCTCGTGGTTAAGCTTCCGCTTCTTGTTCGGCTCCGCGTCATCATCTTCCAAGACCTTTTGCGCAGCTGGGAAACCTGCATCAGCATTTATATACTCGGCAGGAATCATGTCCGTTGAAACGGGTGTTCCAAGAGCTACATGCACCAGTCAGCACCACAAAATTAAATACATAACACCGGGGGGGGGATCTCCACTTACCAGTCCTAAAAGTACACCTCTGGCTCGCATTGTTATAATGGCAGTTGCTACAGCTAGAGCGGAGCATCCCCGGCACAATGACACACTCGGTAAATGGCCCATTCCCCTTCGCGCACGGCCCACACTCATAGTTAGCTTTTACGCCCCTCGATTGCGCAAGGACGGCCTCAAGATTCAGGGGGCGGGTGATCTTGATTGGCTTGTGAACCCGCATGGTGATGGGGCGGAGACGCGGCCTGGGGAGAAGGATACTGCCGGCGTGGTTTTTGATCAACTTGTTTGCCACGGCGTATTCGGCGGCAGAGAGCGGTACGAAAGTGGCAGTACCGTCGGTGAAGGCGTTGGAGGGGGTGGGGGTGGGGGTGGGGGTGGAAGGTGCGGAGGCCGGGGATAGTACGATAGGGCCAGGCTTAGAGGCGGCTGTAGTTTTAGTACCTGCGGCGTATGATGATGGCGTGGAGACGTTGAAGTTGACGGGGGTGGGATTTGTAGGAGTTGTAAGCCCGGCGGGGGCGGTCTTGAAGGCGGCGACCTTGGTAGAAGCAGCGGAGTTGGCGGGAGCAACAGGTTTGGCGGGTTCAATACGCCTAGGCTCATACCAAGCCCTCCCACCGAGCTCGCTGCTAGTAGGGGTAACATTGGCGGGCTGTGCGGCGGCCCCAACCAGGGCCTGTGCAACAACTCCAGGAGAAGCTCCAGGCGCTCCAGGCGTACCATCACCGCCTGCGGGTCTGTCGTGCAGCTGGTACTCAAAGTCGTTGAGGACGTGGTCGAGCACGACGGTCATGTACAAGGTGATGGAGGGGTTGAGGGCTCGATACATGGAGGCGCGGACGTGCTCGATTGCGAGGCGGTAGCCATAGTGGAATGTGCTGTTTTTGGTGTTTTCCATTGTGCGTAGCTGTTGATGATATAGGGATGATAGCGATGGTGTGTAGATGGTGTAAGTTGAAGTAGTGATGAGGTAGGAGGAGGGATGTTGCAATTGATGTTAAACTAGTTCTCGTAGTAGATGGATGGCGGGGCTAATTGATGATATTGTTTACTGTTGATCGATGTTAATGTGCGGCTATGGGGCTTAGTGTATATAGGGTATGTATGTACGTGAGATGATTCAATTACCCCCACACCCGGCGGATGGGTAGTAGAATGTCGAAGTTTTGGTTGTGAGGGCTTCTTTGCAATTCGATATAGCGGTGTTGGCTTTTGAAGCCATGCTTCGTCTGTTTCGTCCTTCTCACATAGTATTGACATTTGGGAGCCGACTCACCTCCGGTTCCCGTCCCATTATATTAGTACATGTAATTGCACGCGCACGCACCGAGTATTGGAGGGGTTGGTGTGATGATTTAGAATTTGGAACAGTTGCGCAGGTCGGGCGTGTAAGCATAAATATATAGAGATCTGGATGTTGTTGGTATTGTCTGTCCGAGTCTCGGTGCTCTTTCTGCTTAAGTATTTATACATGCAGCAGTTACTGGTTCTAGCTATGTGTCTCTTGCCTGGTTTAGGCTACATAGCTGTCTTTATACGTATACGCTGTCTTCATCCATCACAGATGGCATCTTACTGCACAGAGAGGGGTCTAGTGCGGTCGACGAGCAGGAGGAAAAGCTTGACTTGACTCGTGATAGGAGTTGCTCGGCTTGTCTCGACTTGTAAAAGCTCGAGTAGCTCGAGCTGAGCTCGGGCTTTTCAGTGGTTCCAGATAGAACTTTTAGAAGCTGTCATTCTAGCTCTCTCTGTACAAACATATGTTGTTAGGGTTAGGGTTGAGTGCAGCGGAAGGGTAATATGGGCATATCTATGGTTTTCAGGCGGGGATATTCAGAGAGATAACACTCAAAAGACTCGAACGTTTCAAGTTGAGCAGCAGAAAAAGCTCGAGCAAACCCGACTCGTGAGGGTAGCTGCTCGAGCTTTGGGCTCGATCGAGTCGAGGACTCGAGTTAACTCGTCTCGTCGACTACACTAGAGGGGTCCTCTTTTGTGAGTTGGAAAGGCGTTTAGAGGTAGTAAAAGAGGTAAAGATGATGATTATATGGCTCAGCCAGTATTCACTATAGCTATGAATATTAGAACTCGAAATATGGGTGTATATTACTAATTCTTCAATTATAAAAAACATCTAGCTTTGGAATCATTACAACTAGACTTAATTAACAGTAAGTTAAACCTCCGCTCATGCAGTCCGGATCATTAAGAAGAAGAAGAAGAAGAAGAGCTGCCTACATGTACATAAGCTCATGGCCATATCTAGAATCTCATATCTCCCAAACTCCCTCTAGTCCAACCCAAACCATCCTTTAAGCCCGTTCTAAACAATCTATCTTTATACCCCCATTACAAACACCAAATCGAAAAACCAAAAAAAGATTAAAAAAAAAGTTCTCATCGCGTTCAAAAAAACATAATCGCCAGCAGAATCCTCGACCTCGACACCACTCCCCTCGAGCTATAGCTAGCGCTCGCAGCATATCCCGGCCGCAGCGCCATAGTACTGTGGTACACCAAGCCCCACGGGTACTCCGGCATTCTAAAAAGGATGCGGTTTAGGGGGACGATGCATATGGCGTGCGGGGGCGGTGCTGGGCGGCGGTGGATGTGTGTTTGGGGGAGGAAATGCGAGAGGAATGGTAGTAGTAGTAGTGGTGGTGGTGGTGGTGGTGGTGGTAGCGGCATTGTATAGGGAGAAGAGGTGCCGGTGGGGCTGTGTAGTGGGAGATATGCTGGGAGTGAGAGAGTGTTAGAGGGATTAGGTACAGCGCGGCCTTCGATGATGGTTGGAGGTGTAGTACTGATATGCAAGATCTAGACTTTAAAAGGGGGGACTTTTTGGGCGCAGTAGTCGGTACCTATCCTTGCTGGGAGAGGGTTCAATCAAGTAGCTGCCACAATAGAATAATAGCTCGAATGCCCCACACTGCGTTTCTAATCCATGGGCTTCATGCAAGGTGGTCTTAGCAACGGTGTCCACAGCCCAACCTAGCTAAACGTGTCACCTTTGTCTGCACAAGGAGATCAGCTTTCATCCCTCTTCGTCGTAGAAACATCCATCCCATTACCTATTAAGTCTTAATACCACATCGGAGCCATCTTGACAACTGAGGCGAAGAGTACACTGATAACAGGGAATATACAAGCACCAAATCCTCGCCAGCATGGTTAATGATGGCATCCGAGTGAAACAACGAGCCAGGGGGGAAAAACAGCGCTAGCCGGGAGCAAGGGCGAGTGATGCTCCATGATGACTGGGGAGGCGACAAGCTTTTGTCCCAGGTAGATCAGAGCTGGGATTGTGATTTTGGGGGGGTAGTGAAGGTCTCTCTTGCTCACCCCTTCAGCGACGTTCTCAGCTCTGGGGAGAAGAAGAGGCTGTTTGACATAGCTATTGCTATCCTAACTCTGAATACCCTACTAATAGGTAGTAATAGGGAAATATTAGTAATACAGCTACTATTATCAGCGCATTCACGTGGCACGGGATCGAGTGACGCGTCGAGAGAACAGGGTGTCTGTAGATCTCGCGAAGCCAGGCCAGACAGGAAACAAAAACCGATAAACATCTGCATATATGACAGCGGACAAAGATGACGATACAATCCCCATCAATCAATCACTATTCATGATCTGCTGCGCATGCTCCCTCTGAGGATGAAGAGAGAGAGAGAGAGAGAGAGAAGAACAGTTCCCCCCGCAACCATGCACGTTGCAAAGAGCCTCAATTACGCGGCCCCGCTAAGAACCCCGCAGCCTGTCAAGGCGCCAAGCAAGGTTAGGTTCCAACGGTCCTCAACCAACGCGATCCGCAGAAGAGAAGGGAGATTTGCAACGATAGACGATAGGAACAAGATATATGCACTTCAGGCTGGCAGTTATATTATGTAGCTATGACGGAACACCCCGCTCTCTCGCTTTCGCTGGCCAAACAGCTAGCTAGCTGGGTGCTTAAGACCTCAGCTGAGGAAGGGAATCAAGCCACTGGTGTCGAGGTAGCTATACATAATGTAAGTCTCAGGATTTGCATTTGTCCAAAACAAGGATCGTGGAGGCTGGGGGGCGCAGAGATAGACAGGCAGATTGTGGAAAAGGGGTGCCAGTACATGATACACACAACTACGGCATGCGCAGGTTTAACTTAGAAAGAGAGAGAGAGAGATACGATGGTGGATGCTGTGGTCTCTGGTTAATTCTTTACCAGCGAACCCCCGACAGACAGCACAGACAGCACGGCACAGCATAACAACACTGCGCATCACAGCTGAGCGAGCTGTGTGTGCCCAGCAACTATCTCGAAAGTATCCCTGATATAAAGTCTTGACTGGTACCCCGCTTACATCCATCCCTTCCATATTATCATCTACTCCGCCATCTCTACATCTTCCAGCACTACAATTGCATCACTCTTCGGGAAGATAAAAAGAAATGGCCGATCTCACAACATCATCATCAGGCGCCGGCGGTGGTGTAGGAAGCCTAGGCGCCTCCTCCAGTCCCATCCGCATCAAATCCCCCATCTTCCTGGCCGAGCTCCGCAAGATCTTTGGCACCCTCACAAAAACCGACACCCTCCCCGTGGCCAACTTCAAAGCCTTCCTCACAAACACCCAAAAAGTCAAACTCTACGATGACCGCTCCGGAAACGACCCCGGCAACAACCAAACAGGCTTTGCCGGCTTCGTCTCCCACATCTTCCACCCCTCGCAGACAGCGTCCGCTGAGAAGTTGCTAGCGGACAACTCGAACATCACGTTTGACGAGTTTGTGGCGTACTTTTCAGCGCCGACGAACAACGCGCTTGCGCTGCCGGACCCAAAGACGAAGGATTGGAACCAGCCGTTGAGTGCGTACTTTATCAGCTCGTCGCACAACACTTATCTTACCGGCCACCAGCTGTATGGCACGTCGACGACGGACGGGTACAAGTCAGTTCTGAGGCGTGGGTGCCGCTGCATCGAGATTGATGTGTGGGATGGCGATGATGGCGAGCCAGAGGTGTTTCATGGATATACGCTCACCAAGGAGATCTCGTTCCGCGATGTCTGTAAGGCGGTTGCAAAGTACTCGTTTTCAGGGGAAGGAACCTGTTGGGAGGGTGGTGCGGGGGAGGGCCCGGTCATCATCTCGTTGGAGTGTCATGCGGGGCCAGAGCAGCAGGAGAAGATGGTGAAGATCATGAAGGAAGAATGGAGGGATATGTTGGTGCAGGGAATCAAGCCGGAGGAGGTGACGCGCATGCCAAGTCCTATGGAGCTGCGCAGGAAGATTCTGGTTAAGGTGTGTTCTTGTTTTATATGACAAACGCTCTGGATAGAGGTACAGTTCCCAGCTAACTGATGATGATATCTAGGCAAAATATCTCCCCCCGCCCCCGCCAGCACTTCCCAGAACCAGAACCGACTCCATCCCCCGTCAAGTACGCCGCGCCCCTACCCGCCGCTCCTCCTCCTCCTCTTCCTCCGAATCAGAACTCGAGGAAATCGCCCGAAAAGCCAACAAAGCCAAACCACCCAAGACCAAAGTCACCCGCACCCTCTCCGAGCTCGGCATCTACTGCTCCGCACACCACTTCCCCTCCAAGGAGCCCAACCCCTTCCTGCACAGCACCTCCCAAATCCCCAACCACTGCTACTCCTTCTCCGAAAAGGTCTTCGCCACCCTCCACCAGCAGCACGCCGACCACATCTTCCTCCACAACAAGGAATACCTCATGCGCGTCTACCCCTTCGGCCTGCGCTTCTCCTCCTCCAACGGCGACCCCACCACCTTCTGGCGCCGCGGCTGCCAGCTCGTGGCACTCAACTGGCAGAAGTGCGACCAGGGCATGATGCTCAACGAGGGCATGTTTGCCGGCGAGGGCGGCTACGTGCTCAAGCCCAAGGGCTACAGACCCGGCGATGTCGAGGGGCCCGTGAAGAAGACGCTGGATCTCACAATCGAGTTTTTAGCGGCGGCGGAGCTGCCGATGCCCGAGGATGACGATACGGAGAAGGGCTTCAAGCCGTATGTGAAGGTGGAGCTCCACGTCGAGGAGGCGTCGGGCCCGAAGGGGAAGACGAAGGCGAAGAGGGGCACGTCGTGTTCGTGGGGCGGCGAGAAGGTCGTGTTTTCAAACGTGAGGAATGTGGTTGATAAGCTTGGATTTGTCAGGTAAGCATCCCACTCTTCTTCTTCTTCCCACGCGGAAAGAAAAATCATCCTCTAGTGACGGGCATAGATAGATAGCTAACTGAAAAAACAGATTCAAGGTTCATGACGAGGAGTTCGGCCGCGACGACTTGGCGGCGTGGGCGTGCATTAGGCTGGACCGACTGCAGGAGGGATACAGGTTCTTGAGCCTGTTCAATAACCAGGGGGACCGCTCCAATGGGCATATCTTGATTAAGGTTACAAAGAGGCTCTACTAGGTTGTGCTGGGCTGGGGTTTTCTTTCTTTCTTTTTCATGGGCATAGTTAGTGAGATACCGTAGAATGAATTTCTATCTTGAACGAAGGACTAGTTGTTTGTTCGGGTGATTTAGATGTTGTTGGTGATTGCTTTATGGGGTGCTTGTGAAGTGGGGGAGGAAGCGGAGATGGTGCTGGTAGGGCTTTGCTATTTGGATGGTAAATGGGTTTGTATGGCCGGGTTGGTGGGATCTCATGGGTCATAAACTGTTTCTGCCCGATTGATTCAGGTATAAATGGCAAGTAGAAGCGTTATGAGCCGGCTTTGTTGTAGTAAGTTCAAATAATTAAGAGCGGTCATGATATATCACTCGATTCCACCTCCCGATTGATTAAACTTTATCGTTTCTAGCCATGCTTCGATTATACCGCCAGAAGCAGTTACAATCTAAAAGAGGAATTCTAAAGTCAGAAGTGGAGACTAAACTAAAATATAGATACTTGATATACTAGTAAAACTCTGATTTTCAAGCCTTATTTGATGAATAGGGGAGATCTGGTGTAAAGGCTTGAAACTTTTGATAATAATAATGTAAATTTAATGCTTCTACACAGAATAAGGCATATATATGCCAAAATCGTTACTGGAGGCCAATTTTGACGGTATATTGTAGGTTGGTGCTGCTTATTTTCTCCCCCCACACCCCTCAGAACACGCGACTGCTGATTATTTTAAGCGGTCCATATAAGCACATGCCTATAAGAGCACATATTTGAAGAAGTGAATACCCCTAGTGTATTTTATAGTTTGCATTGTCACTCTGTTTTATCATATACCGTTATAGTTCTATTTAGTAACTATCCTCATACAAAATTAGCTTCAACACAAAATCGTGGAGACTTATATCACTCAGCAAGACATACACAAATACCATCCCCCTCATTGACATCTCGATGAAAGGCGTTCTGCCCGCCAACTACGGGAGATGTTCCACGTCGTAGATAGAGGTCACGTCGAACGTTATGTCAGGCGTGGGCGGTTCGTTGATGACATCAGGGGTGATAAAGACAGAATCCTGTCAAAAGTTATGTCGCCCTCGAGGGAGGATACGCCTGTCCCGCCAGAGGAAGAAGCCAGCGGTGGCCCAAAACTCCCAGGAAAGTAAGTGATGGTAGTTTTCAGTACATCCGCCCTACAAGAACCTATATAAAGAGGATTCCGATATCAATAAATCTCAGTACACCCACCCCACAAGAATGTAAGCAAATTGCCGACGTTGGTTTGAAGGAAATCACGTTTTGGACCCCGAGAACAGCAGAGATGATTTGTGGGAGGGTGGCACCTCCATGAACACAAAATCACTCTTTGCAATCATGGGTTTATCGAGTTTTGGGGGCCAGCTATAAACTTTCGTTTTGTCAGGAGTAAATCCATTGATGAGATTGAGAAACGTTCTTGCTCCATCGATGTGATATATATTTGTTGGGTCATCGTGGCTGCCAGCTTAGACTTTGTTTGATAGATCCCCTTAGCTATGTTATTGTTATTAGGAGGAGTTGTTGAAGACAAACTAACCCGAAAACCCAATCAAACGAGACTCTTGGCGGTTTTCCTCTGAATGGACCGAGTAAACGGGCGGAAAAGCAGTGAATTCTAGCTGAAACATTGTTAGTAAGGGGGAAATGGGAATAGAAGGCGGATATAAACTGACATATAACATCTGCCGGTTTCCTAGTGCATTTTCTATGAGAGAGTACCAGAAAACCAACACATAAAATTGGACAAGTTCGAAGACTTTATGTTATCAGCGGAAAGAAGGCATAGTGGGGACAGGGACATCAATTGATGGTTTTGGGAATCATGGGAATAGTCCAAAAGTTGATATAACAACGGGATAGGCAGGAATTCTTACCCCGACTGATTGCTTGGGCATCATTGAGTCGGTCGTTAATACACTTCCGCTGCTCTGCGGTTGATAGTAGATGTTGTAGAATCCTTAAGAGTTCCTCATGCCCGGCCCTGCAGAGGGTGGAAACTTATGGGGGCTTTGTACCTTATTCGTTGTTAGCTAAAGTATATGTTTGAATCATCGACCGATATTACTCACCACTCTGAGGACACGATATATCATCATCAAGACAATAACTTGCTCCAGCGTTACAAAATTCTCCAAGAAGGTGTAGATGTCTGGTTTCTCGATAGAAGAATCCATCTTCCAATAGCCCGGTAGAAGAATCGATGAATTCAAAGAGCTGGTTTCGAATTCCGGTGTGGGGCCTGAGTCGTCTAGACCAGCAATGCTTGATGAGATTTGGGGGGGGGGGGGGGGGTAGAAGAGGGAGATGTAAGTACATGGATTTATAAGTAGACGGAATAGCATACATGTACATGTAAATATTGTGAGGTGTCCCTAAGTTCATAGTACGTGTTCGTTCTGAACCGCACATACACACAAAGTATATGAATAAAGGTTCGGTATGCGTTCTGTTTATATCGACTACGTATACGTGTCTACAAGTACATGTGCTTCACTAAATTTGTTTTTGGTGGCCGCACGAAGTACTCAGCGGCGGGGGAAACCAGATAGAACGACACGGTCTTGGTATTAAAGGTCAGAGATGGGTTAGGGTTTCGAAGAATGCGTTTGTTTCAACTCATGGGCTGTCACTCGACTACGACAGGCTCCAAGAATCCAATTATAGACTCTACCCACACTCGAAAATCTTTTATTCGATGAAGCGGCGAGATGGGGGTGAGCTCCAGTCTCACGCATGCAATGCGGGATGATTGCGGGATAGCTGTAGCTGCGAGGCGCTGTCGATGCGGGGAAGAGAAACCACGCGCTTCACTAATTTGAAACAAATACCAACAACACAATCAGCACCACCATCATCATCCTCGTGTAGAGTGCTCAGGTTGGGAATTTTAAGTTATCGGGTTTAATCAAGATGCACAACTAGCTAGCTGGTAGTGATATGCGTAAGCCTTGTGCTCTCTTCCAGGGATAGCGAGTCAAGCTTATATGCAGCTGGGTACAATGACTTAGCTAGTGTCGAGCGGTGTAACGTTGGGTGTTGGCGATTGTCCGGAGATCTCCACCCCCTTCCCCGCACCAAGGAAACATTCTTTTCGAGCTGAAGTTGTTTCCCTAGGCGGATCTGCTTTGCATGGCCTGTGGAAGAATCGGTATTCGGAATTGCTACTTGATTGGGACACATGCGCATGTTTCATGATGCTACGTATCAATTGATCAACTTTGGTGATACGCGTACTGGGGTGCTCATAATTTTTATTAGTGAAGCGTGTTAATTGAAAATTGCAAATGGCTTCTACAAAATTGAAATTTGACAACGAAACCAGAGAGAGTGGCTATTAATTCCAATCTCATCGGCTCATCTCTCCTCCTCCTGCTCCTCCTCCTCCTCCTCCTCCTCTTCTCCACTCTCTTCTCGACTTGTCTCACGACTGGTGATCCCCATCTTTCTGGTTACTAATCATTACTATTGGCATCCGAAACAGGTTTAGTGCCCCGGTCTTAGTCGAGTGATCTACAATGCAGCCATTCTTCTTTCCGACTGGCGATGGTGATACAGGCGCCTTCTGCTCCTCAAACCGGTATAATCATCTCGAACTTCTAATATCTTCAGCTGAAAGCTAAAATATCTCGCATTATGCTTCAACCCATGGCGATCATGATCAGCTCCACGCGGATATCGCATCTAGATCTATGGATAAAATCTCTTAATTCTGACTTTAATAAGATTTTAAGATTTTCTATATAAAGGGCCGAAAAAGTCGTTCAATGATACCTCAATTGCACATTTGAACAATACTTCAATTGCACATTCTCATTGACATCTCAACCCATCATGACGCCCTCTACCAAAACCCCCCAAATTAGCTGGAGAGCCAAATACTCTCGCCAGCTCGTCCGTGAGACGATTTTTAAGGAGCTCACCAAGCGTAGACAGATTGGTTCACCTGGACGTAGCATGCCCATTCTTGGAGATGGCCGCGATGATACTCTATCCGACATTCACCACCTCCCCCATGACAAAACTCCAAGGTCTCTAACTCCTACCGATCCGAAATCTCTCAAATTCTGCATTGTCGGAGCCGGTGTTGCCGGACTTTTTCTTGCCCAATGCCTCACCGAGCTCGGAATTCAATATGATCTCATAGAGGCATCAGGTAGGGCCGGTGGGCGAATGTACACCAAAACCTTCTCGGATGCACCGCATGACTACTATGACATCGGGGCGATGCGGTATCCAAAAATCCCATTGATGGATAGGTGAGCCGCAAATACACAACCTGTTGAGATACAATCTTACTAATTTCGCAAACTAGAACATTCCGGCTTTTCGAGGAACTTGAAGTTCCACTTATACCTTACTACTTGAGTGGGACCGGGAACCCTGCAATGTACAACGATATCTTGGGCCCAGGGTCTGATGAAGATTTTGATCATTACAAGATTAGTTCAGAGAGTGGGGGTGTGGTGATGGATCAGTGAGTATTCATATCATTGTGCCTATATAGAGCTATGTTTTCATAAAACAGTCACTAATATTTGATGATAGGGCAGTACGAGATGGAGTCACTGAAGTTATGCGCCAGGCACTAGAGCCATACAAAGGCCCGATGAAGGTTGATTTTGAAGCTGGTTTCAAAAAGCTCAAAGAAGAAGCAGACAAGTACTCCACCCGAGAGTATCTCCGAACTGTATTCGAGTACGCTGGTCAAACAGGCCTGGACTTCCATACAATTCAATGGTTAGAGACGGGCCAGACGTATGTCCACCACCACTAGTTGTGCCCGCCTCACACACTAATAATCATGTCCACAATTCTAGGTCAAGCGGTCTTTTTGATCAAGCTTTCTCCGAAACAGTCATTGACTCCCTCGACTTTGAGTTTGACGATGATGTCGACTGGTTCTGCATCGAAGGCGGCACCAAAAAGGTGACCGAGGCCTTACTCAAGAAGATCCAAACCCAGCCCGAAATGTACACCTCCGTGACCCGTATCGCCCTCGAGCGCGACTGCTTTGGCAACAACGACAAGAATAAAATGCTCGTCGACATGGTCAGTCCGCTTGGGAAGACTGAAACCCGTGAATACGACACCGTCTTCAACACCACGACCCTCGCCTGCGCCGCGCGGATCGACCTGACCGGTGCCGAACTTCACCCAGCGCAAAAGGACGCCATCCGCGCCCTGCATTATGACGCCAGCTGCAAAGTCGGCATCCGCTTCAAAACCGCCTGGTGGATCACGAGGTGTGGTATCACTCAGGGCGGCGCCGCCTCCAGCGACCTCCCGCTCCGAACTTGCGTCTACCCCTCCTACAACCTCGAAGATGACCACTCAGCACCCACAGTGCTGCTTGCATCCTACACCTGGGCGCAGGACGCACAGCGCATTGCCAGTCTCATCAGCCAGGACTCACCAACAGGGGAGGGTACGCTGATCAACTTGATCCTCCGCGACCTCGCCCGACTCCACGCCGCCAGCGGCATCACGTACGAGTTTCTTTGCGAGCAGTACCAGACACACCACGCCTTTGACTGGTACCACGATCCGTACACCTCCGGTGCCTTCGCGCTGTTCGGGCCCGGTCAGTTCGAGAGCCTATACCCCTTCCTCACTCGTCCGACTGCGGACAGTAGGTTACACTTTGTCGGCGAGGCCAGCAGCGGACACCACGCGTGGATTGTTGGCTCGCTGGACTCGGCGCAGAGGGCACTGGAGTATGCCATGGTCAAGTTTGGGCTGAGGGAGATTGCGGAGAAGATTGAGGCGAAGTGGGGCCCTGTGGGTGAGGTTGAGCTGAGCGCTGATGGTACAGCCCATCTACAGGTGGGGTTGGGGTACTTGAGGCCTGAGGAGGTTGTGAAGTTGTCGGTTCAAGATATCCGGGCTTAGACCTTAAGCGGAGATATGTTTATGATGTAAATGTATATATAAGAAATGCAAAGCGTTTGGAATTCGCGATATGATAGGAATATACCTGCCTAGATCTGGATTCATTAGGAATGAATGCAAAGTGACCGAGGATACAGAGCTTTAGGGTATAAAAATAGTATCAGTGAGGGAAAATCTATTGTCCATGAATACGGGACTGAAGGAAGGTATACTGCCGCCCTGACGTAGGAGCGCTGATCAAGTCGTAGGTACCCGGCGGGTGAGGTGTACAGCCGCATTTGAAAAGTATTGGCACCTCCGAGCCAAACTCACGAGGCAGTCCTTTCTGCTTTTCAATTCTCATATTCGAGACAATTGCCAGAGAGAGCTGCAATGTCTCTATTGCGGTCATACCTATCAATAAGTTGAGTATGCGCGAGTGCCATGGTTGTTGGTGGGCCACAATTCATGAACGACTCAATATAGTAGGGTGCCAGTACTTTTCGAATGCGGCTGTACATGAGTGTACTACCCACTACCCAGTTTCAGTTTTATGAAATTTAGACACGGATAGGTTGGGAACTAAATTTATTTATGGGGCGATACAGAACAGAGAAAACATGTGAATTTGACATGACTCACTAATTCTGCACTTCTCTCCGGAATATTCCTTCTACTCTTTCTCCAGGTAGTAGCCGCTTATAGGTTTTAGAATAGCCCTCCTCGTGGAACCTAAACTCGTAAAGTGATCGGGGGTGGAGAATTCGATTGTATCAATACAGTTCATCCTGGCCCCCTCTAGAAGATGAGGTTATTTTTTCCCTTTTCTTTGTTGCCCCATAAATACAAGCCATATTCCTGGATTTCACCTAGAAGCGACGGATTATACCTTACGTCACTGTAGCTACAGTTACACCAGTAGTGTTCTTAGTTCGTGAAGTTGCGACGACGATGATCGCGGGGTTCTGGTATAGTGTGCTCCTAGGAATTAGCGGAAGTCGGTACTTGTAGGTAGTTATCGGTAGTCTAGGCAACTACATCGTCCCACTTATTTACAATAGTCTTGTTGCGATAACTAAGAATTTTGGGTGTAGGAGGTGATGAAAAAAAATGTAAATCCTAAGCTAAATGTGCATCATGAAACACACTTTGAGCTAAACTAGCGCCGGTTACCGGAAGACGAGTGACAACCGGTGATTGCGAGTGATTGTTTGTGCAACCATTCATACGAAATCACTCGTGGGGTCTTGGCGATCTGTCCTAGCGCGAGAGAATTGGAGCGGATATGTCAATGGTTCTTGTATGCTAATTTTAGTGTTAGTAAAATACTTCAACACGCCTCAAAACGCCTGGGTGCATCAACATACTACAGTCTCAATAAAGAAACCCCTGCGTTGCATCCGTAAGTTCGGGCGAGTAGATCGCCGTGGGGCAGGCTCGCCAAGCCTTCACATATTACCACACAATCCGTCGACCGTGGTGGACTATTGCGTGCATGCCAGGATGTCTGTAAAGGCGAGCATTACTTCAGTATTTCCGCCAATTCCGGGGACAATCGTTTCCGGGAATAGATGCACCGTTCTCCGGAGGCTGAGGAATGGCGGAAAAACTTGGATTCGTAGGTACTAGCTCAGGTGGGGAAGTGGGATACACCAGTAGTAAAGCCGGTGGGCCAGGTGAAGACAAGAGACTACGTGGTGGGGCGAGCAAAAGAGATAGATTTTGATTGATGCGGGGGGGGGGGGGGGGGGGGCTCGCGTGGCTGCTGATTACTGATGTAGATATGTAGTTGAAATAATCTTTCAGATGTACATGAATTGAGAAATGTGGGTCTTGTAGTTGTAGCCTGTATAGAACCTGTTTTAGCGGGGATGGGGGTGAGAGGTTTCAATGTACATGTATAGTTCGAGAAGACTCACTAAGATGGCTTAGTTGTCATTTACTTTCTAGCCTGGAAATATCTGTAAGCATAATTATACATCTTTGCAGAGGTTAATGGCTCTTAGATCGAACCTACTTACAACAGTGGCCCAAGGTATAATAAATAACCACCCTTTTCAAAGGGCGGGGGTGTGCCTTCAGAAGTTCACTGAAGGCTGATTCTATCACCATGATCAATCTTGAGTGAATATAGCGCGACGACAAATTCGGCATATCAACCTACCTCTCTCATCATCAATAAACACCGTTTACTCCCAGATCGATCCCTGGGAGCACACACATTTAGTGGTACGGGAATGTATGCATACGCCCTATATACCAGCTCATAATGAAATGAATCCACAAGCATACTACGAATTTTCCGTCCTCCCATCGCCGTTCTCTCGATGATAATCTCTAAATCCAGGTTAGTCTTCGAAGTTCTGTATGCTGCTTATAAACACCCTCACGAGGCTTTGCGAGATACGCAAAAGATCGTTATTATCCCTTCGCCGTATTTGAAACGCCTAGGTTGAGCCAGAGACAAACCTAAGATTTTAGGGGGGAAAGAGAGGAAGAAGAGAAGATTTACAAAGAGCATCATGTACCAGCAATGTTGATTGGGGATCAGATCCCTAGTAGTCACAGGCAGTATAGTAGATTACATGTAATTATGAGTAGGAGGACCTGTGATGTAGATACATGTACATTTTATCTAGCTAACGTGTCCTCTAGATACATACGCATGACGTATAAGGGTCCGCTATTTGCCAGATATCCAAATCTAGATCCCTAGTGTGGTCCATGAGGACGCTCGAGGCAAGGTTTGGGGGTGTCCTCGAGGTGCCTCGTCCTCGTTGACCTCTGTCCTTGTCTGTCCTCGAGGTACCTCGAGGACGATAAAGCATGACCCGGGAAACTAAAAAGGTGATATTTCTCAAAATGAAGGTATACTTTATTCATGACCTCATCCGATTAGGGCATATTAAGTGTGTATTATAGCCAAGAATTGTCCTTGGAAGTCCTCGAGGCGAGGTCAGATATTGTCCTCGAGGTTCCTTGTCCTTTTGGACCACTGTCCTTGCGTATCATCGAGGACCTGTCCTCGAGGCAAGGACACAAGGACGCTCGTCCTCGTGGACCACACTTTAGATCCCGTCTCGATAAAAGATTTGCATTTCATGGACCCTAAGTATCTATTATCGAGTTGCGAAAACAACTACATACGCACCCAACGACAACCAACGACCATCAGGCTTTTAGCAAACACAATAGATATATATGGAGAAGACTATAGTACATCCATGGGACTAGAGAGTTATGGAATTGGAATTTTGGACTTTGTTTGAAGGAAGAGGATTGAGGATCGTGTTGTGTGAAAATGATACTGTTGGTATGTATATCTGGGGTGCGCAGTTGTTTTTGTAACCTGGCAATACGATCCATTTGGCGGTGTGTGTGATTGTCGGCGTGGTTATTTTTACAAGCTACTGCTTGGTAAAGGCTGATCGAATTTCCAAAGAGACTCGATATCTCTCTTAGATGGTCATTATCACTTTTTGGCTCAGCCGGGGTCGGTTCTGGGAGTCGACGCCAAGAGATGTAAAAACCCTAACCCGATCAACGCTAATGACTGCAGCTAAGGGATGCATGTAATCCTCTTTCCTTCTCAACTCCTCCCTTGAGCTCTCAGTGCTTTCAGCTGTGCCTCTGACTTCTCCATAACCACGCTCCCCCGTTTCGGCCCCTCCGCATTCAACGCCGGCCCATCTTAATTTACAAGTTCTAATTTAATTGGCGTTATAATCTGACTGCGACTTATATACAGCGATGGCCTGGTGCAGATCTAAGCTTCATAGTATTTGCCACAGAAGTTTCCTGGGACTGTTCCAACCCTTCGGGTATACTAATGTCAAGATCTTGATTATTTACGATCGAGGGCTTTTTTCTGTGACGCTCATGCAAAGATCACTTACTTCCAGCATACTACATAAGTTTCATGCCAGATGATGTGGTGCCTGACAATGATCTCCACAACTTTTTATTCCTTCTGAGAGCTTCAAAAGTTGAAGCGCTACTACTCCCTACAGTACTCCAATACAATATATATGACAGGGAATTATCGACGACTTACTTAGGTGCGTCCCAGGATCGATGCCATTAATAACCAGATACTCCGATCTAGAGAGAATATACACTACGCACAACCCTGGATTTGAAAACGTTTTCAATTCGTGTGGACCCACATTTCCTGTATATTGCGCACATTTTTACTAAGGGTGCTACTCGTAACCCTAACCCTGTTTCATATCTGCCCTCACCGCAATGGGCGGGATGCAAGGTCCATCTGCTGCTCCGCCAAGCCCCTTTTGTTTTGAGAAACTAAGGTACTTGGTTTTCATATCCTTCATAACTTCTAGCGTTGTATAACGACATAAAAAGAGTTTTCTTACTTTATATTAGGAATTGTATACTCTGCTCAATTCCATGATAAAATTGATTCGTACTCGATTAGAAAACTCTTGGGCCAGAGTTGGTATCCTAGAATTGAGCGGGATAAAAGCATCACACAAGCATTAGTAGGGCCGTGGGTTCCGTTTTGACAACAGATTTGATAAGGGAGATTTTTTCCAAATTAGGTTACGCTCGAGCTTCTAGCCCCCGGTAATATAAAAACCAATCACTACCCCCCATAGCTGAAAATCGTGAATATTAGAAGCTAATTCGGTTCATCTATCAATTGCACCTTTGCAACAAAACTGCCTCTGAAAAAAAATCAACCGCTTTGTGGCCAATTAAAGCGCTTTTTTGCAATTTGGCGGGGGTTTTAACTAAATATCATGTAGGTACATGCGCGCCATATAGACACATGCAGTACTAGTGCGATATTTGAATGCCATCGAAAATGTCAAAGGTAAACGACAAAGAGTAGGACACCATACCATAGAATCATGACATGCGTCTGATAGATCGTTCCTTTCCTCGTGCCTCTAGCTCTTGCATTCCAATTCAAGAACACGTATATCCACAGTTTTGAACCAACAAAAATTTGCGCATATGCCACCTCTTCCTGCACACACAACTTCACATGCAGTGATTCTGCTGCAATGAGAGCTAGATTTTATCCATGTGAGATACAATTGCGCAGGGTATCAAAAAATAAGGCGGACTGGCATTGTATGAGTGGGGGTTTTGTAGGTGCCAATACCATCGCAATATGTAATTCTCCCCTTTTGCTTCTCTGCATCATATGTAGTTAGTAGGGCTGTCCTCAAGAAAATTTAGTAAGAGAATGGTAGGATCACTCTCCAATTTGTGAATTATTATAGAGCGGGAATGACCGCATGTTATCTCATGAACACGATGTTCCTAAAAGTGTGGGAGAAAATGCATCCGTTGCCAGCCGGTCTTATTATTTGAGTCAGGAAGTGTCGCCTCTCGAGTGATGGATCATGCTTAACATCTCTCGAGATTGTGATCCATGTTAACATTCTAAGAAAGCCATTGTGAGACTAATCGAGCTTCTAACCGACCGAATGATTCATGTTTCTGCACCCATCTCATGTTCCCCACAGCTAGGTCAGTGCAAATGGTTCGCCCTAAAGAGCCTCAATTAATCAACGGATCCTGAACAGTGCCATAGTTCTCAATTCGGAATCATGCACAGCAAACTTACTCTATAGATCCAGAACCCGGTTTGTGTGCCTCGTAATTAATACCAATTGTTTGGCTCGAGCTCGTGGTGCGCACAAGTAGTTTGTTGTCCATTGCAGGTGCGCACAAAACTTCTCAAGATCACGTCGGGCCGGCTCGAAGCCAACCAGACATGGAAATACCGCCCCAGATTCAGAACCATGCAATTCTAACCCCCTCCCGCACGACAAAAACAAAATACTAATGTCAAAACTAATCATCAAATCTTCTTTTCGACTATCATGGCTGGTTACCTTGATTGGCGGCTTCTAGAATGGTTGTGCGGCGGTTGCTCTGCAAAATAGAGGGTTTATGCATACTTGAACAGGCCAGCTATTACTCTTGACTTCCCCACTTCGAGGCTCAACTGGGTCTGGGGGTGACTCCATGTTGAATGTATGCGGTATGAGAACTTCCAAGGACATCGATTGGAACTTGTACCTATCTGTACCTGATGAAATGCATATCTTAGTTATTGAATTAATTAATTTCCGAAACAGATTGACAACTGGACCGGCTTGGGTATTCAGTCATGTATGTATGTAGTCGCTAGATTAAAGATTAAAGCAGCTCATGTAAATCTAACGTCTTCCTGTTGCTTTCCCGGGAGTCGCCGGTGTGTTATGCTGTTGTTTCATCTCGACTTGAAAATTTGAACCAGGCCTAAGAAGCATCTGATTGGTTCAGCCCCAGGCTTGAGGAGCTAGCGCCCGAGACTGCATTGTCCTAGACGAGACGGGCGTTCTCCATCCTCCCCTTCGACTCAGCCTCTTTTGCCAACATGACATGCCTCTCGGCCTCCGTCCGTCAACAAGAAGGGCTTTTGAGTACGAGAGCTAAACGATCAACAATGTGTATGTGTTCCGGCTGTGTTATCTATCCGTCAATATTTGCATATATTGACAATTGGATTGCAGTTACATAGTTGTCCGCAGATAAGGCTAATTCCATAAGTTTACTGCTGTGCTGCTCTATTCTAGAATGCTGTAGCCCTAGAGGCGCAAGGTGTTCCCACCTACTTTTGATCCCCTTTTGGACCAGTAAGGTACGGCAGTTGTAAGTGCTGTGATACGTAGGTATTTACAGTAGGATTCCCGACTTTGGTAATGAGGGGCTAGGTATCGTGCGCAGGCTTATTAAGCCGACCTATCGACCAAGATTATAATTGAAGGGACTCACAGCCAATCACAGTAGAAGAAATTGTGAGTTTGTGGATGAATTGAGAAAAGTGATAGGTATTGGAGTGGGTGCTACCACACGAGTAGGCATTGCTTTGGCGGGATGTAGTACACATTGTGGTGTCACAGTTACACGAAATCCCGGGACGGACGCCCAGGGCGAAGAAAGCCGAGACAGGGGTGCCGAGTCCGTCTGTTGGGCGAAAGGCTGATCATGAGGCTCTGCAGATGAAGCATGGCGGAGAGTAAACAGCTTACAGAAGTACATGTAGAGTATGTACCTACATACATGTGCTTTCGACGTAGCCGCCGGATCCCTCGTGTTACAGAAGGATGTAGGTACACCTAGCGGTCCTATGATTATCGACTATCGGCCCGATGTGTTACAGTGGGGAAAAGGAAGATGTAGAAACACCACACAGATGAAATAAACAGCTAACCAAATATTGCTATCCTACTCTATTGTTCACTACTGCAATTCTTCTATAGAACATGACTGAATAGGTTAGTGAGATCCCTACTTACTTACATACATGTACTGACATGTACTCGGGTATGTATTCAAGTACGTACCTCTTGCCGCGCCGCTGTTGCCTAGTCACAGACAGAGTGGTGTGTGCCTGGTGGTGGTGGTGGTGGTGTGTGCCTGAGCCTGAGCCTGAGTACTCAAGGTGCTCTCTACTCTATGCACTATTCGAAAGGAGAAACCTCTTCGACTCTCACCTGTTCACAACTCGCAGCAGCCACCCGGAATGGACAGGTTTCGCCCGTAACGGGAGAGACCTATGACTGGCTTTTCGATACTACATGTCTGCAGTTACCAGGGTGCAAGAGAGTCTTCAGATATCGGGGATCTTCCATAGCTTGATACTACATCTATACTGAGCCAATCTCTCACGGCTCAGATATGTCAGTGCTATGAAAGGAAAGACATCCATCGTTGAAGAAATATTCAATCTGTTGATAATATGTATGCATGTACCATACGTACATGCATACTCTTCTCCAGAGAGTTTGGTTCGTGCGCATCGTTTCCGACCTGCAGGTAGATATGTGAGAGAATGGTGCGAAATACTCTCTGCGCACCAATGCAGAATCTTAGCCAACCACAATTCCTGGCTTCACACCCTTGCAACTGTGGGCAGAAAAAAAACATAGCTAAGAAACGGCGATAGACGTAACATTCAATTAAAAAAAATTGAGGCTCTTCAGAATCACCCTCCCCCCCGCTTAGTTTGGGGCAGTGTTCGATAACTATGCGAACCAGAGCGCGCGCCCAACTTCGCGTCAATTAAGGAAGGCATTATAATGCAAGTGGTTTGAGCTAAAGACGGTACAAAGCTGCCTTGTCCCCCCCTCTCGACCAACCATCTACACAGCCCAAAATATATTCGAGATTCTCTATATTCCTATTCTGCACCTAAGTTCTACTTTTTGCAGAATTGTCAAGTTTATATAACAAGCTCCCGCACCGCCTCTATATTTCCAAGATAAACCTACTCGGAAACAAGCCTTGTGGAGCATACAGTGTATCAACATCATACGCACATATATCAAGCCTCAGGCAATTCGGTTAGTCAATTTCCACCATGTTTATCTGGTTATTTCCATACATCCAATGGCTATTCTGACATCTCTACCATCATCTAGGTTGTCCGTTCATCAACCATAGGCAAAGATATCACTGCCCTGAAAAACATTTAAAAGGTTTGTAAATATGTTATATTGGTTCCAGGACTTCTTTCCGAACAAGCTTTGCCCGTCCCGTCTTTCTCTTCAATCTTCACGAGCAATGCTCTACATATTCCTGTTGCACCAAGGCAGATTCAATCGGGCTGGGTTTCTACCCTGCAGCTACAGAAGAAGTGCAAGTTCTCTTGTAGGGCGACAAGTTCGATATCAAAAACTCTTAAGAGAACCTAAGTCTGACATGCTTGCACTATAGTATTAAGTTCGGAAAACCTCCGTCAACAATGGGAGATAATCTTGGCCAGCCTTCCATGGAAAGCCTACTCCACTCAACTGAGGGCGATCATGATATTTATCAGCCTGATCAATTACTTCTAAATAGAGCTTTCCCGCCTGTCCACATGAGTGAGGATAAATTTGGTACTTGGGATTTCAATCACCCGGCCCCCACAGGACTTGAGGAAAGAGTTCAAGAGTTAGCCGAGTTAAGGCTCCCTCAGGATACATCCACAGATATAACCTCACCACTTGCACGGTTCATGACCGACAACAACCCCCCCAGGCCCTTAGTGGGCATCAATAATACCGCTGGATACGTTACTCCCCATACCTCACACCTTTCCATCGCAACAAGCTGGGGGCAGAGATCAATCTACGATGACTACGCTCCGTCGGCAGGCAGCTCTAGATATGAATATCCGTTTTCCCCTAGTAGCACTGGATCCATAGATGAACAACGCTTTCAAGGAGTCAGCTACGACGACCAATCGAGCTATTCGCGCAGGGATTCCGGAGGCTGTACATCACCTTCTTCGCCAGGGATAAATGCCAACGACCCCTGGAGAAGGCACTCTGATTACTCGGTCGAATCTAATACGGATATCAACAATTCTTCTCCACTTGGCCACCACCGTCTCAGCCAAGATGCTTCGTTTGTCAGCTTGAAGAATATACAGATAAGCCCGGTAGAAGACGAAAATGATGATAGAGAAGACTTGATCCGAAGACCACATAGCAATAGCATACCAGGAATATATGTCAACGGACACGAGCATAGTGATCATGGAAGCGCTAGTTCCTGGGATATGTACCAAGATTACATCCCTGGTCCAATGGATATGTCCTGTTCTTCACCAACTTCCAAAGTCTCGCCTCAAGCCTCTTCTCCACGTACGGTGGCAGTGCTAGAAGCGAGGCGGGAGCGCCGTCGATCAAGAAGTGGTTCTACAAACTCACAACTATCGAATAAGGCTCGGGCAGAGTTGATGAAGCCTCATCCTGACGCAACCACTAACGCAAATGGGAAGAACCACAAAGGAAGAGGTGCGGGAAAGAAGACCAAGGAGCGACAGTTCTGCCCAGAACATCCAGGCAAGTCATTTAGGCACAATTCTGACTTCCGGTAATTAAATCCTACTATCCTTCCCATTTGATAGACCCGCTGACAATGATATATAGGAAACACATGCAAACCAAGCACACCAGACCCTTCCTCTGTACATTCCACTTTGCAAACTGCGAGCAAACATTCGGGTCAAAGAATGAGTGGAAGCGCCACGTCTTCTCACAGCACCTACAGCTCCACTACTGGCGCTGCGACTACCCCAATTGTGCAGATCGTAAGGCATACTTCAATAGAAAAGACCTATTTGGACAACACCTTAAACGCATGCACGGGCCCAAGGACACCAACAGCCCTAAGAACGCATCCGAGATTAATAAACGTTGGCTCGGACATGAGATTCCTCAGATTCAGGACCGTTGCCGCAAGGAACGTCGTGCTCCTCCCGAGAGGAGCATATGCGGATACTGTGACGAGGAATTCTCAGGACCCGGTAGCTGGGATGCAAGAATGGAACATGTGGGAAAGCATTACGAGAAGAATAACTACAAGGATATCGATACTAAGACATGGGTGATGGACAAGGGCCTCATCCAATGGGCCCTTGAAGAGAAGATTGTTGAGAAGACCGAGGAAGGGGGTTATAAGCTTCTGTGTCATGGAAAAGATTCGATTGAGGGAGAAGAGAGGAGGAGAAATAGCCAATATGGACCATCCACTATTGATCTTGGGAATGAGGGTTACGACGACAACGAGGATGCAGAGGGTGAGTATGAGGATTAGAGTCAGGTTTATTTTCATGAAAAATCACATTTGAGGCGCTGGAGTTTTTTCTTGGTTTTCTGCTTTTTTGCTATTTCTTTCTTTACGTTTTTTGTTTTGATCATGAATTTCAGCATAACGGACTTTGGGTGGGAAATGATTTTATTTTGTTTTCTTTATTTTATTTACTGACTTCCTCGAACACTTGTTGATACGTGTTATATACTGAAAATGGTCGGGATGAAAAAGAAAAAAAATAAGGGTAAGGCTATTTGAGGGAATCGGAGTGAGTTTATATGGAATGGCGTCTTTTTCTTTTCATTTTTTTTTTTTTTTTTACATATTGTTCATTTTTATAGTTGTTTTCTTTTTATCTTATTTATACACCACGACAGAAGAGATAGAGTTCACGATGGTTTCATTGGCTATAGGAGGCGAATGTTGTACACGATTTAATGATTAAAATAAATGTCTAGATAACTGTACCTACACTGATCATGAGACTACTAGCTGGGAGGTGTACGCTGTCCTGGCTGTACCTTTTCATGCCACATTGCGTGGCTGCTATTAGAACCAGAAGCATTGATCCTGGCTATGGGGGATCTTGGTCAATTATCTTGATCTGATCTGATCTGATATATGCAGTGCAAAAGAGGAGGCACGAAGCCAGGAAGCCAACGGATAGCCAACTAGCCAGCATGGATGTAAGTTTACATGTAATGAGAGCCTGCTACTCCTGCTATCCTGACATCCATCTCCATCCTCTTGTACGGCCGGCCCCAGGTTGCAAGGCAGACAGATGGACAACAAGATGGCTGTGCACTCCTCGGGCGTGGTTACGGCTCCTGCAGGTTACTTCGCGATACGCCTCACTAGCTTTTTGATTTTGGTTTCTCTTTCCCCCTGGTACGTTAAGGAAAGGGCAAAGTGCCCTTTGGTGATGATCTTTCTCTCCGCCGCCCAAACATATTTTATCAGGACGGGGTTGGGTGGAGGACTGTGAATGTGCATCTTGGGGTATCACTCACTGGATGCCCTTCCGTGCCCTGCATCTGCATGTGGTCTAGTGCTACGAAACAACACGTTGTTTCAAACATGGGGGCACATGGAGTTGTGATGGACCAGATTTATTAGTATTGGCATTAATGATAGTGCATCCAATGTATACGAATAAGCATCGATCCCATCTCAGGCCCATCACAGCTGCAGCTGCACTAGACGGGACTATGAAACAGTGCATTTATTTGGGTGAACTACTCTACACATGTGCATGAGAAATGCACCCAAACAAACAGCACTGTTTCTTTCCTGGCCACGAGATGAGACTTATGACGAGCGGTTGCGGTTGAGATGCAGAGTACAGATCTAGCTATTTGTATCTGGATCGGGCTAAGGCAGGTCAATTAAGAAGTGTGCAAAAAGCGAGGGGTTAGAGGTAAACTCTAGATGGCGAGTTCCGTACCATTTTTTCGGCTATTCATACCAGGATGAAGGAGAAAAAGAAGGATTTAGATCGCAGGTGTCGAGGGAAACCCCCCCCCCCCCCCCGGCGGAGTTTGCGGGTGCGTTGAAAGGTGTGCGCCGCCAATGTATCTATAGGCCCGAAGTAGAACTGGGAATGGAGATGAAATGATAGTCCGAGACAAGCGCGCAGGTAATCAAAGATGACAGCAGCGCCAGATGTATGTGCTATATGTGGAGTAGGTACATCTATGGTTCGGATTTAGAGCAGTGCGCAATTAGCGCCATTACTCTCTAATGAAGGTTGATCTCTTGTACACCTCACTAACAAGTTAATAATACACGTTAACTTTTGCTTTTACTCTATTACATAAACGTTTGTCACAGTGATAGTTAAGTTAGTCGAGTGACATTTCATGAGTATAAAACCTGCTATTAATTGATTTAACCATCAAGAAACGCACTTGTGTAACCTCAGGTTCATAGAAGAGGAGACTTTTGTTCAGCGCAATCTATTTCCATTATCTATTATCTAGTACTCATGTAGTTATACCTCCGTATGCGTAGTGATAATGTAACCCCATTTTCCAAACCAAAAAATAGGGTGTAACATGGTGATTGATTTCTGTAACTGTTGCCCGCCGTAAGTAAACTCTTCTAGTTGGGTAGCCGGACAGATCCTGTCCTTTCTTAATCCTCCGTATCCCAACGCACCTGCACCCTGTTCCTGTGCGTCAGCAACCTGCTCGTCATTCCTAAAACCCCCTCTGTCTGTGCCTCATTCTGCCCACGTGACTTCCTCATATCCTCCTTAATCTCCGCTCTAATGATTCTTCTCATCTCATTCTCCTCAGCGGCTGCTGCGGTCATGGTGGCTGCTTTCGCAGCTTCCGCTTCGTATAATTTTTTGAGTCGCTCCTGTTCTAGTGCCATTGCCTGAGCCTGAGCATGTTTTCTCATTGCCGCTTCAGATTGCTCACGCTGATGTCGCTTTATACCCTCCTCATGAGCAATTTTGTCCTCAATCCGCTTCTTTTCCTGCGCTTCGGCAAGAGAGCGTAGCTGAGCTTGTTCTTTGGAGCGAGCTTCGGCCTCCGCTCTTGCCTTCAAAGCGGCGTATTCAGCCTGAAGACGTATGGATCTCATCTCCTCCTCTTTTTCGAGTTCGTTGCGAACTTGTTTTTTGACCTCCTCCTTACTAGCTTCCAGCTGAATGCGAATCTGCTCATTTAACTTGTTACGATCCGATTCGAGTTGATGGAGTCTAAGGGTTTCAATTTTGACTTGTTCATCTGCGGTTCTTCGAGCCTCCTGCTCGCTGAGTTCTTTCCTAATTTCTTCTCTCATTCGCTTTATCTCCTCCGCCCGAATCTTCTCCCACTCCTCCGCCCGAATCCGATCCTGCTCTGACTTGTTTCTATTAATCTCTTCGATCATGTGACGGCGCTCCTGATCGAGCAGATCGAGTCTAGATTGACGGGCAATTTCTGCGACCTCCTTTTGTTGCTCAATTTTTCTCTTCTCTTCGGCCGCAAGTTTTGCTAGATTAGCGAGTCTTTCCCTTTCAATCTCCATTGATAATTGTAAATTCTTGGTTTCCTCTTGGAGTTTTCGTGCCTCCGCCTCAATTTTCTTCTTTTCCGCCTCAACTTCTGCGAGCCGGATTCGTTCCCTCTTTTCAAACTCAGCGGAAATCTCGCGGCGTATCTTTTCCTGTTCGGCTTGAATGAGAATCTCTCGTTGTTTAGCCTCCTCCCTGGTTTTATCTTCTTGCTCCCTTCTTCGCTCTTCCTCGATCTTGACTAACTGATCGTTTCTCACCCTTTGCATCTCTACAGCAAGTTGGTGTTGTTTGACTTCCTCTCTTAGGATACGTTCCATTTGAAGACGACGCTCCTTCTCAGCTTCAAGCTCAGCTAGGTGAACCTCATTACGTTTCTTCAATTCGGTTTCAAGGAGATTTTTGATCCGCTCTTTCTCGGCCTCTGCAGCTACCCGACGCTCGGCTTCCTTCTCATTGGCCCGCTTTTCGGCTTCGAGCTTTTGTAACCGCGCTGATTCCTGGCGTTGTGCATCTTCAAGTTGCAATTCCCTGCGAATTTCAAGTTTTAGTTTTTCATCGGCCTTTATCTTTGCATATTCCTCCTGACGGATCTTATCTTTCAATTTCTGTTCCTCTAGCCGTTTTTTCTGCTGCTCATCCTCCTTGGTGCTTGTGGAGGGCTCATGAGGTTCTTGACCCTGACAAATCCGGCAGTCGCTGAGGTCAATATCAACATCATCAACACCACCCGGTCCACTAACAACTCGAACTTTCTTCTTGCATGTGTGATCACCTCCCTCATGCCAAAGCTTGACTTCAAACTCTCCGCTGCCTTCCCTGGTGAGTTCAAGGCGACGAGATCTATGCTTTGCTCGAGGTATGTTCGGCGAAATGGTGATTCTTTTGCCAGTATTTTCGTCGATGTAGTATGCTTTATATTGTTGGGATTGACTACCGTGAGGTGAATTGTCCTGAGGTGGATTTGCGTGAGCTGGAGCATTCAACTGTTCAAGATTTGTGTGATGCCTGGAAGATGTTTCCGGGTCGGAAACGTGGACTTCATTGGCTTCATCATCATAGTAGTAGACTCGTTCTCTGAATCGGCGCGGACTTGTGCTGAGGCTGCCTGGAGTGCCAACCCTTGGAACAGGTTGTGGTACCATCCCGGGTTTGGATTCTTCGGCAGATTTAAATCCGGTATAGCTAGACATATCCCCCTGAAAAGGCACAGGATACATTCCGGGAATTATTGGGAAAGCTGAACCACCACTAGAAGATGTCCCGGTTAAGATACCTGGGCCTTGAGAAGGAAATGTTCCATGAAAAGCAGGAACAGGAGGAGGCGTGGACCCAATGGGTCCATTTGGTGGGATAACAGCGTCCTCGGAGGGATCAATACAGATTGGAGGAGGGTGGTAGTACAAAGGTGGATTGACAGGTCCTCCATGACTATCAATAGAAATCCCATCAGTTAAATCCGGAAAATCAGACAATGATGGATAACTTACACAGAAGGTCCTCCCTCCTCGACAAGGACAGGTGGGGGATGATACCAGAGCGGCATCTTGTAGACTTATTTGATGCAGAATTGGTAAGAGATACTAAGAGAAGATTAGGTTGATAGCCAGTCTCTAATGGTGAATACACCAAAGATGTTGGAATGAAACCAGATTATGATAGATGGTGGATGGTGATGGATGGTTGATGAAAGTGGACGGTGGATGGTGGATGGCGGATGGTGGATGGTGGATGGTGAATGGGTCTTAGTGATCGAGAAGTAGCAGCACGAGATGAAATAACGGATAGGAGCAAGAGTTGCGGGCTGACGGTTATCTATGACAGAGGCTTCCTTCGGCAGCCCTACCATACTATTTTTTCGTTTATCTTTACTAGTTTATGCTGCAGCTCCTACACCGCCCCAGCATCAGTAGGAAGTCACAGCAGTTGAAGTTGTATAAATTCTATGTAACTTCTCAAACAGAAATCGCCACCACGAATTCAGGCTTATTTTTATGATATGATAGGGTGCCCTTCACGATCATACACTTTGGTGTATATTTGCTGTCCAATGCTACCGTATCACTATATTTAGGGGTACATGTAGCTGAGAAAGTGAATACATCATGGTCATACATCAATTGTACATACATGTACATGTACTTACGTATAGTTTCTAATTCTCATAACTCTCTTAGAAAGTCAACAGAAAAGGTCAGGCGGACATATGTACATGTATGTAAGCATGGCACGACTTACATCTACATGTATGTATGAGAACTCTACGCTTTGTTTTTATGTACTTTAGGCTTGAATTAATGCAGCATCTAAGAAGGACATATGTACATCATACATATACTTGTAGATCTATGAGGTATTTCACCTTAATTCACAAACAACAAAAGCATGAATATCAATTGGAGGTATAGACATTAGAGATCTTCTGGAATGTCTTACAAATACTGGCGCGTACATACGTGTATGTACATTAAGTATATGTACATGTACATGCAGTTATAGGTAAGGGACTTTAGGTGCCCGTTAACTCGTGAATAGATGTTTCGCGTAATCCAGAATCAAATGTTAAGTAATGGTGAACTTATAGAAATCGCTGTGGATAAATGCACATAAATGAACCTCTCTCTCAGGCCTGGCTTCTGTCCCCCCACACAAACTCCTTAGATCCAGTAATGCCCATGTGTTCCACGCATATATTGGGGTGCACAAATCCAAACCCTTGTATGAAGTGTAGAATAGAAGGGATATAAGTGATACATGTCTATACTCTTACGTTTTTCGGGTTCTATGCATGTGTGTGTGCACGAGCGGCCCCACATTACATGCGCATGTAGTATAGGTACATCGCTAAATCACGTTCGCCTAAATATCAGTTCAAATATTTCCCCTTACTTTATTCTTTATCTCCACCTTATCGTCACTATCTCACCATTTAGTTTTGATTTTAGAAACTACATATAGGTCCATACATGTACTAATTACATTTATGGCCGTCTCTACACCTGCAATGTGAATCGGGCACCGGTAATAAACATCAGGCAAAAAGAGGTCCTAAAAGAACATAGCCACCAGACAAAGAGCGGCTGCCTGATATGACCCACCATCGCTTCTTTCCTGGTAAGACATATTCTTCCTTATATCTTCACTCTTCTCTCCTTCCATCCTACAATTGTCTATTATTGTCATATATTATTATGATTATTCGATCACTTGAAAGCCACCTGTCACGAGAAATCGCCAATCCGATGCGAGGAACAACACTGCCCTATAATCTTTTATGGGGTAATTCCACCACATGAATTTCGCACATGGATAGTTTTGAGGAGAGCGATCGGATTCCATGATTGGATTCAGAAAGTAAACCGCAGTGGTTTTACAATGAAATTTCCGGCTGTGGGTTATACTGAATTCCATGGTGAAGGTGTGATCAGTTAGACCGAAGATGGGACGAAAGACTAATCTACACGATAAGCTAGGCAAATCAAGCCTACGAGAATACACCAAAGATTACATAGCTCGAGATTGATGACTTGTAAATCTAGCATTTTGATTGGTTACCATGAGCAATTCCGGACCCCTGAGCACCCACGAGTATTCTGAAGCATCACACAACATAATCAACACCAAGCATGACATCACAATCATTACAGATAGACGAAGGATATCTCCATATCAGAGCGGTGTACGACTTGAATTTGTAATACTCAGGTTAATTTCTTGGTTGCCAATCCCCATTCACAAAGAGCAACAGTGTTGAAACATAATCGAGTCTGGGCCTATTGAGAATGCTCAAATCGACTAGACTAGGAGATACATATATTATGCAGTTTCGACAACAATCCTCTTCTTGGCCTCCGGTTTCGGCACCTGGAAACCCTGACACGGCCGCAGAGACAAATTCATCCTATCGTACATCTCGGTACTTTTTCTGGCCCTGATGGTTCTTGATGGGCTTAAAAGCCAGTTAGGAGCCTTGTTTTTGATCGTGTTTTCCCGAGCGGTGAGAGAGCTATTTTGGTGGGTCATTTCAGCGCCGAATGGGAACTAAAACTGAACCCGATTGATAGGAACCCAATTTGGCGGCTGAAGAGATTTTTGGTTCGTCTACCATGCGGGCCAGGGCGAATCAACTGACCGCGAGAGGTACCTGATTTCGGCGTTGCGGTGAAAAACCATTTTTAACCATGAATATGGCCATCGATATTTAGTTACTGTATGTACCTACTGACTGATCATACGCTATACCTTTAGGACTCTCCATTGTTATATTCTTTCTTGTTTTCATCCACTTTAAAAGATCGATCAAAATAATATTTAATCACAGGTGCCAACATTGCGATAGCACTTTCCACCGAGGACCTTTTTCTATCTTAATCTTATTGATAATAACTTTCCCATAACATTGAATGATCTACCCATTCCCGGGTGATAAATTAGAAGTGCCAGGGCATCCGTTTGACTACGCCGAGTCTTTGTGATAATCTAGGTACTGTATACCCTGCTATTATGTAGGGACTGATAGTTTAGGTTCTCCGCTGACTTAAAATGCAAAACTCGACCCTCACTTGTATCAAAGAATGTTAATAGTGATTGATAGCTAACTATTTCAATCTCAGAAGTGATAGATCCCTCGAAGTTAAGTAATAATAAGAACAATAATAATAATAAAAGAAATAGCAGGCCGAGCTGACGTTTTGACTCACAGATATACCGCCTCTGCCTAAAATCTACTTAATTCGCCCTTTCTAGCTCGTCAGGTTTAAATAATAATTTACAGCGAAGTTATTATGTTAGAGAAACACTTAAGTCTTACTCACCAGTCGTCGACATAGCCTTTTTACATAAAAGTTACTCAAGGACTTAGGCAGAACTCTTTCAACCACGAGCGAGCGTTCAAGGGATATGAATTGAAGATATCATAGAACTCTACAATAAAAATCAACTAAAAGACACGGCCGAGCATCGAAAATATATCTCTATATCTTTACGCTCAATTCATATCCCGCACACCTCCTCTACTTTAATCTCATCTCGATAACCAATTAAACAAAAAAATCATCTCGATAACCATAAGAATACCTGAATATTGGCGAACTGGATTGAGCGAATTCCCCCTGGTAGAGTAAGATAAACAAGGAAAATCGAAAAATTCTCTCTCATATTCCAATGGCTCAAAATTGACCCATTTAAACGCATTGAATGCCATTTATCTAGGTCGTGAATGAAGGTCATGAATGAAGGTCAGCTTCTAATTACCCTGGAGTTTGATTTTTACATTTTTCTATAGAACTGATTGTTATCATATCTAAAAGTTATTTCACGAATCAATTCCCGGCCCTACATTCAGAAATAGCAAGCTTAGTCTATGTCTAATAACTCTTCTAAGGCCATTAATATCAACTAGCCTTGGTTAGAGATAATTTCTATCTTCAGTACAAAACATGAATACCTTGTATACCGGGCTAATGGTGGTAGCATTGACGATTTAGTATTTTATGAGGGAGTCAAGTTCTGAAGAATAACTCTTTTAGGCAAGGTTAGTTTTCTAATAAAGTCGTTGAGTTCGGATAGTGCCTATCTAATTATCAGAAATCACCGATTATATTTACATCTCACTGGATCTTTGTAGCAACAATTGAGTTCGAACAATCGAATCTTTCTGGCATGTTTCTGACTATGGCGAACTGTTTCTAACCACTATACCGCCACTCCAGTACATCTGCGAGCTCTAGAGCTATTTTGCCCTATATACGCGCATTTATTCAGTGGGTGAACTCATATTATTAATTAGTATAGCCCACATCATATATACAAGGAAGCATCTCGGACAACCGCTGAGTAAGATGTATCCCCTGCGTCCATGGAGTGGTTGGTCCAGTCGAATCCCTAATACGGACTTCATGCGGATACTATATTAGGATAAAGTTATCAAAACCTCTGGGCCTGTCACTTTTTAGGCACAGTCTTGACGCAATCTTGGTATAGAGGCTGCGAATTTAAGGGGATAATTGTGGCACTTCTTGTAGAAAGACATATGTCCTCCATTCCTCTGACCGACCGCATAGAAGCTTGGTACAGGACATTACATTATCCCGGGTCCCCAGTTAATCACACTATATCCATACTCTTGAGTAATATAATATGAACACCATTTTAGGGCATTGTGCCGAGCGATGAACCAACCTCCAATACCGATGCAATATCTCACAATGTGTGAAGTTCCATCCTATCTTCAACGGAAATCTCCATGCTAAGATACCTTACTCAAACGATTGCGGCCTCCAATACTGACTTTCTATATGAAAGCTCGTTCTCCTATCCCGAATCTTCTATGATACGCCGGGTGGCTAATTTAATCACTAATCTTGTCTAGAACCAGGCGTCAGTAATATAAACCTATACATAGGACCCAGATATACCCCACTCTAATGCCATTGAAGATATAACAGCGAGACTAAATCAGACTTGAACTGGTTTGAGACGAACACCTCACCCATATTCATCGTTACATAAGCTCAGCTCCCCTGCCTGTAAGATTATTTCATCAGCGCTCACGTGTATTATAAGGAACATTCTAGGGCTTCCTTAACTACACAATCCCTGATTAAGAAGCTTTCAACTATCCCACCGAATCTAATTCGATACTGATTTAACCATTATCCATAAACATTTCCAGGCTCTATAGTTATACTCTCTTGTTTCTTTTTACACTCGTAACGCCCCTCTCCAATTCCTTCTTTTATTCCCTTGTCCATAAGTTCTGCATTTTTACCATAGTCACTGATTTGATGTTTGAATGGCACCAGAAATTAAGAAAAGTATATCATTCCCAATTTGTTACTTCCATGACTGCATAATCCTCCAACTTTGCTATAACATCTGGATCCATCTTAAAACCACTCATCTTAAATAAGCAAAATCCAAATAAACCAAAACAATTCTTGCAATTCATATCCCGAAATTCAACGCAGTCCAAAACTCCTAGCATGTCCACAATTCATCACCATCGCCCTACGAAATCCCAGATCATCCAGTGAGGGCTGCATGGCAATATACCACTCATTGACATGGCGTCCCACACTTGGAACAGACCTTCCCTCTAATCACCCAGCTTTCGACACCTGCCAACTCGCATGTAGGGCATTTGACACCAGGAACCTGCCAATGGAAAATTAAAACCAACACCCAATAAAAATGGGTGTTTTACAAACTTACAGGCACCGTTTTGATGATTGGATCAAAGTCAAGGAATGGCACAATGGGGTAAAGAAATCCCATCTCCACCTGGGTAGCCTCTTTAATGATGAAAGATGCTGGGATTGCACCAATGAAAGTGCAGAATGGGTCTCTCTGAAACCCCTCTGCAGCGTCGAAGGAGGTTTGGTTGACATTGGCAGCGAAGGATGGATCCCTTTGAACATAATCTTTAACTTCAAGGGGAACTGAGGTGGCATCAATGGAGGTTAAGGTTGAGATTGATTGACACATTTCTATGATGCTGGTCCGCAAGGCCTGGGTAGACTTTTGGCGATATATTTCGAAAAGTCAAATCGACTTTATTGATCTGATTAATGGATGATGGTAATATCTTTTTTTTTTTTACTGGCTGACAAAGCTAATTGAAGTGTTGATGTTGATGGTGAGAAGGGCATTTGAGGGGCATCTTAAATGGATTTCGAGTCGAAGGCAAAACGCTTCGACATACTTTCGAGCGTATTCACGTTAATTCAAGCTGACCCATACTACACTAGCATTTACTAGTTTCTGGCTAGAATAGGGAAGAGCTATACGTTATTTTCTTCTTCTTGCTAATACATTATATGACATTATAATTTATTATTTCCAGATGGCTAAGTCAACCTGAAAAGCTATTGGCTGCTGTGAGTAGGTTTACCTTGATTACTTGGGTGAAAGAAATAAGTAAATTGGTATATGACATGCTGTCTGAGCGAGCGTGGGAGTCAAGAATCACCGGATTGCAGCAGGAATAGTATGTACTAACCTCTCGATCGAAAGCACAGAGCTCTTATGGCAATCGATCCGGACTCGGAGTTTTATTTGATCTTAATGCCACCTGCATAATATGTGTGAGGGGACAGATAATCGTCCATGCGCTCCATCCATTTCATCAAAGCGGCCAACATTTAATTCAATTCCGTACCTGATTTACTATCTATCGTCATGCAGCATTCACCTTTTCTCTCGGTACCGGAATGCAGGGATCAACAACTGGCGACGCTTAACTACATATTCCCCCAAAGTCTGGATGCTGGGTCCACTCCAGTATATGTGGGTGGCTTCTGTGCAAGGATCATGATCACTATGTCATGATAAATGTTGGGAACATACATAAGTGCGCGTGTCGACATGAGTTAGTTAAAAGTATCTGGAATATTTCACTTGGATGCCCGGTGAGTTTCTAAAAAAGAAATAGCCAACGTCCCTGGCGCACGGGTTCGGGTCATATTGCAATATTGACGCCTTGATGGCATTCTCATCTATTTTGATTGGAGCGGTTCTTAGGCTTGGAACGCTTTGATTGTGAAGAAGAAACTTCAGCTTGAATTGTTAGAGACACTAAAACAATAGTCTTAGAAGAAACATGGCGGTATCTCTTTTTCTGTACGGCCTCTTCCGTGGGCTCAGGGAAATACATTTCTACTCATATTTTTCTTCAGGTCTATGATATTGGACATGGCAGAATGTTTTCATAAAACAGGCTAGTTTAAACGAAGACTGACTTAAGGCTCCACAGAAATCATCATTCCGCATTCACGCATATATATCCGTTTTGCCGAAGGGATGGTATGCATATCGGATCCACCTGAAAAAGTCCGAGATAGGTTGTGATCGCTATTCGACTAGGCTTTCCATGTGCGATAATCTAGGCTGCTGGGTACATATGTATGTACAAGTATGTACGTTCTCCGCAAGCTAAGTACATGTTCCCTAGCACCCGGTACCGCGAAATAAACAAAAGATCGTCTGCGCCAATCTAACCAAACCGAAGGCATTTAAGATTGAGTCACTACTAAGAATTGAGAAATATCGCCGTTTTTGCATTTCAAATGGCGCTGAAACGGATTCATATCGAATAAAAAAATAACTACTTCGTAGATTTTCGGAAGGTCTTGATAAAATTGCGCTGCCTTTTAGACAAACAGATTGCGCCCGAAATTTTGGTGAAAAGTGGAAAGGACTATACTCATATCCTTAAACCCAGGTTCATTACCACATTTGTGCGGCCTCGCGGACTTGATATCTTCACTCTAACTACGCATTGTGTAGTCGAGTATATGCACCATGTATATACGTATAACAAGGGCCAGAAATACGGTATGGCAAGTTCTCCATCTCGACAGGTCTATGGTTATAGATATTTTCGCGCCAGCCTAACAGTAAGGATCCCTCCTCATATACTCTTAACATACGTACGCAACTTTGCAGCACGGATGGTTGTGGTGTTTCCGTAAGATATGTGCCGCGCTCAGGCGTTATATGTACTAGCATATTCATTGAGGGATTGCCCTGTGATGAAAAGTTAGCTGAGAAGGATTTTAGCAATTCATGCGATGCAGCTCACTGGGCCGCTAGCTAGAAGCTCGCGACATCAATTGGGTACCAATTAGCCCAGGAATATGAGGCAAGTTGGGATCGACTGCTCATTGAACTAGGACATGCAGTTTAAAACATTACAGGGAGGGACCGTATAGTAGGGACTCGGCCGGCTGAGGCAACCGAGTTCTCGGCATGATCTTCTAGCTGGGCTGGGCTGAACCCTTGTAATTGCATAGTACAGCTGCAACACCTATCAAAACTCCCTGTAATACAATAACGCTAGACTGTAGTTTAGAGAGGGAATTTGTTAGCAAAATCACAGTTTGTATCCCTGTAGCTCTCTTTGAATGCTGAAAGCTGGGTGTTGCTCTACATACTTAGTATCATCTCGACATGGAAAGGCCCGAATTAAGAGACGTCTACTTGGCCCCGCCAGGACTTGAAAGCCCGAGGACACGTTATACTTTGTTCTTGATTTGCTTTTTTCATTCCCTTCGCTTGAGATCTTCGAAAGGAGACAGGCGTCCAATACTAACTACATGTATGCATAGGGAGCAAGGTAGGTAGGCAGGTACGGTTGGAGGACTGGATTCAGGTCTTGACGAACGTACTTGTAATTCCAAGTGTTCAGTCGAGTTGATGTTTGACAGTAATCATAATTCTATTGGTCTCAATGTCATATTCTTTGTTCTATCTCCCTTTTCGCACGAGACAATTTTACAAGAAGCCTTGTATCCAAGCTTTCTAGATCTGCATCAAGGTAAACCAGATACGACCCCCACCTCGTGACCTGGCCCACTGACATAGATACCCTCGTGCTTCCAAAATATGCCGTCATCTTCCACCCCAAAGTCACTCTTGGCATGCACTTCATGCTGATATTAGTGCTGTTCATCTACTCTACATAGAATCTCATAAATATAAGACGTACACGGCTTGGCTTTCGCCAAGTAAATCTTTAGCTACTATTAATCGACATTCTTAAGATGCATTGAGAACATTCGAGTATGGTATTATATTGCGAGTTATGTGATTAACATGGACCTTATCATACGTACCTCTAGCTTCCTACTTATTCTTTACACTACTACAAAACAATACCACCCATCCATCGTTATCGTTACCACTCATGAAACCAAGAGTCTATCACTGAGATTGGGTCTGGCCATTAGGAGATTTGGATCCCGTTAGGATTTTCCACTGGGAACAGATCTATTCGGTACAGTTAAACACGTGACATTTTATACGGCAAGTTTGCTTTTGTTCGGCAAGTTTGCTTTTGTTCGGCCAGACATCAATTTCTTAAGCATATCCCACATAGGCCTATCATGTACGTGTGTTCCCGTCTAGGCTAAATTGGGCGTCGCAGAGCCTGCCTCACTCCCTTGGAAAAATCGGGGGGGGGAGGGGAGAGAGGGGGGGGGGGAGGGGAGAGGGGGGGGGGGGGGGGGCGTTGTGACCGGTATCCCTCCGACCCTTACTATAGGGCTTTGGACTGCGCGTCGCTTTTATCACGCCTTATGGACTAATGGGATGCTTGGTGAGTGGATGATGCAAATTCATTTGCCATCTTTCCCGATTGTATGCCAGATAAACTCATTGCTGCTCATAAAGCATAATTATAAATCTTTAAAACTCAACCTTGCTATTAGTCTGACCCCGAATTTTAGTTCAATCAATTAACCAATTTTACACTGTCCACCCCCCCCCCCCCCCCCCCAGTAAACTGAGTACATACTTTAAATGTCGCCGCAAGATTACGTGCTGGATTTTGATTCAGACTCTTCTGTATGGAAACATAATTCACAAAAGTGCGACTTTATGCACTGAATATAAGAAAATTGTAATTAATATATGGGTTAGAGCTGATAGTCTTAGCCTTGGTGGTTGGACAGGTAACCGCCTTAGGCCCAAAAATTAGATGAATTTTGAAACTCGGAAAGCCCTGAGGAAACCATTGGTTCAACTGAGTAGCGATTTTAATTTTACCTCTCGGGGTTTAAACTTTATTGGTTATTGATCGTGAAGACTACCGTCTGATGAATATCGATTCCGACATATGTGTATCATTACAAAGGTCAGTTCCACCTAGCAGCCCTCCCAGCCTGAGCCACGTATAGAATGTTGTTGAATTCTGAACTGCATACGTTAGTGGCGAGTTCGGCACAACGGTGTGAAGTTCATCGGCGTTGAGGATTCCCATGTGCGTATATACATACTTCATACATTGGTTACTGAAACAGCGGCTTTGTCTCGGGTTGCTTGCCGCCAAGACGTTCCCCAAAAGCCGCTGTGTGGAGAAACATAGTATCTCAAGCTCTACGGTTTGAGAGGTCCATGAACGTTTATAGTAGCCCGGTAACTGGGAAGCGCCATAAGCCTATTTTGCCGGCTCGCCCTTTAGGAGATGCCGTATCAACGTTGTTGGGCCAATTACAAGTGGTGGCCATGGAATACAAATTGGGGGTGCGAGCCACCAAAGTGACCTCACGAGAAGTAAGACAAGCAGAACAAATCAGGACTCACCTCTCGTGACACTAGGAGTATTGCGTGTTCATCCTATTTCCAGCTGCTTTCTTCTACCCCCTCATATCAAAATACATAGAGTAGCATGTAGGTATGGGTGCTTCTATGCAACCAACTGGCACCCGAAGGAGGGCGGATATTGCCCCGACTCCGTGGAGGATCTGCCCTGGATCAGAAAACACATACTGTTGAATATACGCTACGGATACTCCACTGAACCAAAGAAAAGATCTGATACTTTAATTCCTCGGGAACATACAGGGTGAAATATTGCTTCTTGTTAGAAGCGAAACTCAAGAATCGAGCAAGCATGAACAATGCATTTCATCCTGCTACTAGCCGTACCACTAAAATAAATAGCTAAAGTACATGTGTGTACACCATACTAACTCCTATGTTGAGGT